TTACCTGAAATTTCGCCTTCCTAGTAGCATGGAGACTTTCTATCAAATACTGAACTCTCTTATCTATCTCTCCCTCGTGCAGTATACCACGAAACCGCTCAAAAATCCCTGTATTAACAGCTGGAAGAGCTTAGATATGCAAATAAAAGGAAGAGCCGTGGAAATATAGAGCATGTATGTATGCCATGAAAAACTGTTGAAGTTTGAAATGAAACAGCTAAGACACACAACCAAATTTCAACATCATCTTTTTCCAAAAGAACTAGATTATCATACCAGTGTATGTCAATAGTCATTGGTGAAAGAATATGATGGATTAAGTGTAAATACAAATAGTCTAATGTTTCTTCAACATATCAAAACAAGATTTCTATCCAATAAAAAGAGAGGCTGAAAGGATTTTTACCATTCAATCCTTTTGGTGTAACGTCTTGAAGCATCGCACCACAATCCCTCACAAACCCAACAGCCACCTCGACACTGTCATCAGTCGGCTCATCCAGAAGTACCTCGACTAATTCAAGTGCTATGATCTCCTCAGCGACTTGCTGGTTTACTAGATGCGCTATAAATTTTACAGCAGCAAGCAATTGAGGCTGCCACAACAAATATGATACATAACAATGTATAAATATGATATATATAAATCAAAATGCTTTAAAAAAGAATTAGATTCGGACAGCAAAAAAAGACAAACCTTGTCGTTACGCTTATACGCTCTCTTTAGCTGCAAAATGACCCTTTTCAATAGAAGTTCAGCAACTTCAGGGAATTTGGCATTAATAACAGCGACTAAAGCTGCAAAGACATCAGTGAATCCAGGAGATGCCATTTGAGACTTCATACATGAACGGCAGAAAAGTCCCCTTCCTCTGATGAGATTTTCAGCAAACAGTTCAGGGATTATGTTCTTGATGTTGCTTGCATTAACCTTATTAACGAGCCCATTAATACTTTTACGGAGAGCATCCCATGTAAGCCGTTGATACTCTACGCTGCTCTTATCTTCCACCTCCTTCATCATGCGTGCTAGCTTGAACGGAGGAATATAAACTCCTCCTGTTTTTCCCAAGGCCATAGCATTGTTCTCAGATGGATTGAGTTCTGCCAGCTTGGGCTTTGGAACCTCAATCTTCTCTTCCCTTTTCCTGCTATCTTCCTTTCTCGCCTTGTCTCTTTGACTATCATCATATCTATCATTGTGTCTCCTTTCTTTTTCATCTCTAACTCCATCATCCCTCCGACTCCTATCTTTCCTTTCAACTTCCCTACGCCGACTCCCATTCTCATGCCCATCAGTCAAGTCTCTCTCCCTCCGATCCCTCTTTAAGAGACCTTCATTACCTCTATCATTCCTCTCTTTTCCTTTTCTCTCACTCCTAATCTCACCTTCCTCGTCGTCGTCAGATGCTCGATGATCCCTGCGCTTCCTCTCGCTTTCACGCCTACCTCCCCTGCTCCTCTGCCTATCATCTTCTTCATCAGAAGGTTTATCAGCTATGACTCTACTACCCCTATGACTTCTCTCTCTACCATGTTTCTCCATGACTTTGGGGCTTCTCCTCCTTCCACTCCTACCGTAATCATCTTCAACCTCCATAGTTTCCTTTTTATTCCCCTTCGAATCATCTGCTTCTTCATCAGAAGAAGTGTCAGCTCTAACTCTATCCTTATTTTTCCCTTTACTCACCCTCCTCTCACCATCAGCATCACTACCTGCCTCAATTTTTTTACCTCTATCATCCTCAGAACCAGAGTTTACTTCTTTCCGATCCTTTCTCGACCGCCTGGATAATTCCTCATCGGAAGAAGTCTCTTTTCTAACCTTATCTCCACGGCGCCTCTCACCACCACCAATCTCAAGATCTCGTCGCGAGCTCTTATGGTCCTCATCATCAGAAACCCTAACACGACGAGCAACATCATCTGTCTCCGTCCTCGATCGTCTAACATCTGGGCTTCTCTCTCGTATTCTCCTATCCCTTCTTCTAGCTCTCTCTTCTTCCTCCGAGGAACTATCGTATTCGTGCCTACCCATGGACGAGAAAATAGTACAAAGAACCCAACTACGAATTACCAGAGATAAAGTAAGAACCTTTATCGATTAGCAGATATAAAACTCCCCTAGGCCTATCCAAAGATCTGAAACCTGTAGCAAGAACCCTACTGAGATCTGGAAATCGGCGAGCAAAAGTGTGATAGACTGGCCAAACAATAATCTGCTTCGATTTGGGTTTTTGGGTGATGATGGCGCTCTTTCGCCGACACGATGTCCTTTAATTGATTCTCAAAACGGCACAATGTCTACATTGGTTCTCAAAACGGCAAAATAAGCCCATTGGGTCAAGGCCATTTCAATCATACTTTTGACTAAAGCCCAATAAAATCTGCTAATTATTTTGACCAATTCTTGTAACCTGAAGAAAAGAAAAAAAAACAAATTTGAGATTGATGTAATTACTTGTAACCCACTAATAATCTCCAATTAAATTCGATGGTTAGCTTCGTTTATTGGTAAAAACTAAAAACCTACCGAGGTTGTCGCTAAGATCTGAATTGGGGAACAAAAAAAAAATTTTGGGTCGATACGAAAAAGAAAATAAAAGCCTAATGGGTCAAGGCCCAAATTTAGATGACGGTTTATACTAGTACAACTGAGCCCAAGAGTACATTTTATATCAAGAATTAAATTCGAATATTTGCATGTTGTAATAAGACCGACGCACATTCCAAGGATTACTAACTTCAAGAAAGATGCTCTGGTTCGTGGCATCTGCTCTCAGCAAATTCCAAAAATTGATTCTTGTTTTAATGTTGACCCAAAAAAAACACAAAAAATATATTTATCTATTTCAAAAACAACTTGTGCGGCCTTAATATTTTTTTCTCTCCATGGAAATATTTTTTTTTTTTTTTTTTTTTTTTTTTTTTTCCCCCCCATGGAAATATAACAACTAAATTTCTTATTAATTTTAAGTTCAAATTAGTACTACCAAATCAAATGATAATATGACATTGTTTTGAAATAAATCTAAGCAGTCGGTCATTGATTATAATACTATTACTTTGACAATAGTAAAAAAAGAAAAAAAAAAAAGTGTTTTAGGAGAGTACTTTTTAAATCAATTAGGATGCATGAAAATTTAGCGAAGGAATAAAGAGGGAAGGGGTCCCACATTAAAAGAATACGATAAGACAACTATTTTCGACTTGTAAATATTTTGTTTTTTAAAGAATAAAAAAAAACAGTTCACAAGTTGTGAATTCTGATGCTGAAACACAAAGCAAAAGCCTTTGGTAGTCGTAACCAAAACGCCAAATCATTACCGTTCAACTGAAATCTTACAGAGAGCCTCTTTCCTTGGAATTTCGATCCCGTGTACGTTATCTTCTTCTTTTCCTCCACCTCCTTCAACTTCTCTTTCTCCATAATCGTGTGTGGGGAAATTTTCAGATTAGATGGAGAAAGGGATTGGATTTGAGAAAGAGAAGAAGACAGTGAGTGATGATGGGTTTGTCGGAGGTTTTTTCCCTGTCTCTACCACCAAGATCGCGTGGAAGTCAAGAAAAAGATCAGGTTTTTTCCACTCTTTCTTATTTTCTCAGACCATCAAAGATTCTAGTCTTTTATTAGCTACCTTTTCTATTTCTGGTCTGAAAGATTTGGGCTTCGTTTAAGCAGTCTGAAATTATCAATCGTTTAAGCCATGCTTGAAATTTAGCGAGCTTTAGCTTGGAAAATCAATGACTCTACAACTTTAGTTTTGATCTGATCCGTTTGCATGTGAGTTTGGAACTCATAGCATTAACTATTTTGATTGCAGCGTCTGCGAACCCAGACAAGGCACCGGAGGTTGTTATGGAGGTCACACCAGAGAAGAACGAGATAACAGAAATGGAGACCGACAAAGTTGGGGAACCAACGACCACAACTCCTCTCCTGTCCGAGAAAAGGAAAGCTCTGTTCGAGCCACTTGAACCCATTACGAACTTGAACGGAAAGCGACCAACAGCGGCTGATTCATTGTTGCCACCGCCGGATTTCGAGACTGCAAACTACCCGAAAGGCTGGTTGATCGGTAAGAAGAGGAAGCTTGTGAATGTTGATGTAGTTGAGAGCATGCGAAGAATCGCTGTCCTAGAAATGAACAGAAAGGTAAAACAAGCTATACACAATGCACATTTTTGCTGCTGGTGTTTTGTTGTTGTTGGGGATCTTTGATTTAGGGATTGTGACAGGATCGAGAGATAGATGGGTTAAACGAGCAGCTAGAAGAGGATTCACGGTGCTTAGAGCATCTTCAACTTCAGCTGCTACAAGAAAGAAGCAAGAGAACAGAGATTGAAAGAGAGAACACAATGTTGAAAGAGCAAGTCGATATGCTTGTCAACATGATACAAGAAGATGAAGAAGAAGAAGCTGAAGAACCCTAAGCTATTTTTCCATCAAACTTATGTCCCACCTATAATAGCTGTGCTCTGTTTGTTTATTCTTTTGTAGATTTGTCTCGTCGTCCATAAGAAGGAAGAAAAGAAAGAAGCTTTACCATGTATTATTTGGTTAAGCTACTGTTGTTCCCTTGTGTTAGAACAATTACATATCAAGAACATTATTATATATTCTAAGTTCTGAGTTCTCCTGCAAGATTTGAACCTGGCATTTGATTGAATCATTGAAGTTCTTCCGAGGATGAAGAACCATTTGGTGTGTGTGTGTGTGTGTTGCTTCAGCAAGAAACAGAGGCAAAAAAATACAAATTTCAGAAATGAGATATGTTCAGTGTATACTACTAAAGTTGTGTTAAACGTGTTGTTTCCTTCTCCTATGAATAAATGAAATATTCAGACCACGAATTTCGAGTGTCCATATTAGCTTTTGCAAAACAAACCTGCACGAACATGAAAGAGATGCTTCAGATTTACATGCCCAAACTTTCCATCCCAGCCACAGCTTCTTTTCTGATTTTTTTGAAAACTCACTATAACACAATAGCTAAAAAGGACACCAATAAAGAGCTGAGTTGTGTTGTGTAATCAAACTTTTGGTTTTTATTATCATCACAAGAACCATTATTCAATCATGGTCATGGTTATTTTTGGTAAAGACTACTACATTACAAACATTGTCAGGCCAGTAAAATTTCATTCTTCTTTCTGATGGAAATCACGGGTTTGACTAAGATTACCATTGAGAGTTGCGTGATATATCCTTTTGTCGCTAAGTCCCAACTCCGATAGAATCAAGTTACCCTGCAAGTAACAAGAAGAAAAGTAGAGCCAAGCGTTGGTAAGTAATAACACACCAGCCAAAATTATATATACAGCTCTAGTTTTACTGTGTTTAAAAGCAAATACCTCGGTGGCCATTAATCTCCGAACATTGCTAGCATAAAGTTTGGGATCATCTTTCTCTTCTTGGGATGGGTAGTATACAGGTAACCGTATGACTTCCAAGTGATTTACGAATTGACAGAGAAGGAATAAAATGTGGCGTGCCTAGAAAACAAGAAACATGACTCTTAAAACTCTACTAATGCAAAGCAGATTTTTAAAGCGGAAACTTCTGAGAAAACCGGAATTTTTTAAAGATGAATGAATACTCACCCCGGATATTGTATCCCATGCCACACTGAAGCGCTCGTACGGATATTTTAAAACTACCGGAAGGACAGGAGTTCCAGCCAAAAATGCACCTGTCTTGAATGTAAGTAAGTAGTCTCCATTGGTCGTTGTTCCTTCTGCGGTGAGACCAAATAACAGTTGTAAGGAATCAATGATGGGTTGGTCGATAAATCGATTGTGAGAGCAATACTGAACCTGGAAAAAGCATAATAGTTGGAGCAGATTTATTCCTATGTGCTTCTCGAACTCTTTCATTCACTGTGCCTGTAAAGATTAAAACAGCGGTTAGATATACCATATGAAGACTATTTAGAGTAGCATTAGAGATTTACAGAGGATTCGGTTCATAAATTTCTAACTATCAGATAGATAACGCAAAGTGGTAACAAAGGAAATTAAAAAAACTAGAAAAGAAAACACTAGCTGAAGATTTTTAAGATTTCTCTTTTTTTGCAAGCATCACATACCAGATACACCCTTGAAATCAGGCGATTTTGCTTCTCTTTGAACATAGACACAACCAAGGCATTTGCTGTCAGGCAAAAAAGAGAGGAGATATAAGTTTGAGATGAACAATACAAACGAATAACAGAAACAAGGACACTTTGAAGTTGTGATGAGATACAAAGATTGTTTCAAGAACTTAGATAATCATTCACAACTAACCTAATGAGGCCAACAAGAGGAAGTTTGCCCACTGATCTCTTGAGCATCAAAATCATGAGGAAGAACAGACAAACAAATGTTAATGTCATTGCCATTATAGAATACCCAAAATGTGAACTTCAGATAGTAGTTTAATAAAGCTATGATGACATAGCCTATTTCTATCAACTAACCTTAGCAACAAAACTTGGAAAAGAAGCAGACATATGATACAAAATGTCCAAGTACGAAACGTGATTGGACACAATGGCTCCAGGTCTTTCAGGTTCCTCCGTGGCGGCTTCCCCTTTCTGGTTAATCTGCAGCCAAAAGACAGGACTAATGAAGATAAAAGACAAACGCCAAGCCATCAGTAGGAACTAAACCTTAAATCAATTTCAGCAAAAAAGAGGTCCCAAATAAGGACGATCTTAATAAATTGTACAGCAACCTAACTACTCCTTTGAGCAAAATCGTCGTACCAAGCTAGAATCCTACAAATAAACTGCCCCAAAACTATATCTTCGTACAACAAAGTCTGACACTTTAAAGTTTCTTATTAACTAACTATCCAAACGTAGAAAATCCTCCAACACTATCAAATACAAACACAATAAACAAACGGAAGCAAAAACTTTAGCTGGTTTATAAGAGACTTAGCTAAGCTTATACCTCTGTAGAAGTATTTTTATGATTGGAATCCATGTCTGAATCTCGATCAGGACGGCTCTCGTGAATCCAATAAAACCCAAAAACGAAAAGCAAAACCCTAGAGAGAAACCTCCCAGAGCGCACGATAACAGTCCGTTTCCATCCTTCCATGTGAGCATAATCTTCCTGAACAACAACACCACCTTCGTCTTCCTCTTCCTCTGCCCCACGATAAGGAGCAGAAAAGAGCGTAAATACCCTACAAATCAAGTAGTACAGAAGCAAGATGCTCATCGAGAGAATAAACCGCAAAGGAACAAGCGTCACCAATGCAACCGCCAACTTAATCTTCTCCGTCATCGGAAAAGGACCCAAACCCATGGTCCCATACAAATCAGTCCTCGCGTAAGGTGCGAACTTTTTGTCTAGCTCTTCAATGGCAGCCGCCAAATCGGAATCTGATTTCAGTAACGGCCTTTCCTCTTTGCTCGACGGAGGATTCGAATTCAAATCTTTGAGCTCTGATTCCATTATTGTTCGTTTCACCTAACCTAAAAATCTAATCTTTTTTGTTTTTTTAAGAAAAAGAGAGAGGGTTTCAGATATTGAATCACACAAGGAAGAGTGGGTTCGTGTAATGTTTGGATGGAGAAGATGATAAAATAGATCGCGGATCTGAAGAAAGTGTCATCCTTTTTTCCTCGTCGTCTCTAGATTTCCCGTGAAGATTTCAGCTTTCGCGCACACGTAGATTCGCCGTAAAAGGTAAACATGAAACTAAAACAAGTGTTTTAATCCTGTGGATCAAGGTCCATGTTAACTTATTATACGCTCTTCTATCTCAACCGTCGGATGGATGAGTTTGCACGAAAAAAACCGCCCACGATTGGAATCCGAATTTTTTTATTTTCCAGATAATGTCAATGAGATTTTCCTTATATTTCTCCATCTTATTTCGTCTTGTTTTTGTTCTTGTAGATGTTTTTTCTTATCCAAACGGAAAATTCCTTGTTTGATTTGGATATAAATTGCGTTCTACATATTTATCTTCTTCTCTTTTTTTTTTTGTTATATAATAACTATCTATCTTCTTGGATAATATTTGTTCAGATTGATGCACCCATATGCGATGAGAAACTCTAGTAGAATATAGAGAAATAAGGTAGAGGTATAAGGTAGTGATACAATGAAAATGTAAAAACTAAAAAGTTTGAAGCATAATTTTGTTTTTCATAATATTTATACAAAACAATATTAAATTAATATACGTAAAGATAATAACTAAATGTAATGGTTTTACTTTAGAGTATAACCAGTCATATATTATATATACCCATAAGAATATTAAAAAAAATTATAACCCAAAAATCATTTGATTCATTTCGATTAATTGGTTGCATGTAGAAGAATGATTGAAAAAACTGAGTTAAACAAAAAAATTTGAATATCATTCAACTCATTCATCTCTGAAATAATAGATTAATGAGTTGAATAATTTTTCTATTTATAATTTTAACATTTTTGGTTGAATGGATTAAATTTATTTTCTAATTTATTTGTTTCAAATGGTAGAAATGAGATGAATGATCATTCAATTTTTTCTAACTTTTTATTTTAAGTCAACCATCCCATGTAGCCATGTCGGGATGGAAACAAGTTAGAGAAAGAAATTCTATATAAGTTTGAAACAAGTGAATTAAGTGGTCTGACCAAAGTCACCAAACCGATGTCCTTCAAGGCTTTTACTCTCTCTTTAGTGGAGCAAATCAAATCACGTACCAACTTGCCCTCCTTATAATAGAGAACCGTACGCAAAATCACAAGGCATGTTCCTTTCAACTCAAGAGCAAGATTATTCATTTGTTTTGTATTATCTCTTAATAGTTAAACGTCTTTATATGATGACTTTTATCGAGAAATAAGACTTGGAAAAATAACAATCAACTTTCTAAAGTTTATAATAATCTGAAGTTTGCAGAGTCCAAGACATAATCCACGACTGAAATCTAGTGAATACAATGTTAAGATTAAATTTAACATGGAAGTGATCACTGGTCATGGTAGGAAAAAGAAAACAATTTCAATAAGAGCTACGTACCAGTAAAACTTAATGATGCTTATTGTTTTTTCTCAGACAAACCTAAAAACAAAAGTGGAAGTTGCGACAGTTAGATTCCCTGCGATGCTGAGTAGTCTTTCTTCTGCAGTATTTGTTTGTTCTTTGTTGAAAACCAATCAGAAGCATATATTGCGACGCATATATTCAAATCTAATGTCATTTGTCTTTTTTCTTGATCATGTCAATGACCTTCATCAGTGGTCTACCGTCTATAACAGTAATCATTATGAAACAATCATAATGATTATCATGATTATGATTATAATTAACTTGGTAATCATTATGAAACGATGTTTTTCTTTTGTTTGAAACCATTGTGAAACAATATTATCAGCGCCGGCTCATTAGGACGAGCGAGGAGGAACCGTCTTGGATTCAACAATAAAAAGAGCTTAACATTTTCCCAACAAAACACTTAGATAAAGAAATACATAATCTGACCAAAATATGGTATTTACTGAATGTTATATATGAGTTTATAACATCAAGTTGTATATAGAAGAATATGGTAAAATGTCTATAAGATTCTGCTGTAACATTAAGCTATAAAATATTGTTATACCATCTTTGTTAATTACAAGAACTATAGTGCGCATACAAAGATTTTTAAAAAATGTTGAGAACTTGAAACCCTCCACTTGCACTAGCGGCCAACACTGTAAAAATTAACAGAAGTAACTAGCACCACCATCCACACATTGAATTTTGTTTTTTCTTTGACAAAAACAAATTGATCCTATACTAAAACCACCAAAAAGACATAGTAAATCTTCAGTAATTTGGTAACAAAATTGCAGTAATTCACGTGAATCCCCAATAATTTTCTCATGCACACATAGTGGGGTCCTATTTTTTTTTTCTCCTTTGCCACTTCTCGCCAGCCTCTCTTCTTTTGTTCTCTTCACTACCTCCAAACTTCCCAAGAATCTCTCTTTCTCCTTCTCTCACCTATTCTTTTCCTCTGAAGACAATCCTCCTAACGAAAATGCTGAAAAAAGCAACATATCTTCCATTGAATCTTTCACTAGCTCCTTTGCTTCTTGTTCTTATTTTCCTTCTCTTGTGTGTTGTTCATGGCGTCGGCGAGAAGAAGATTCTCAGTGTACACAACAACATCTGGTCTCCCAAGAAATCGTATGAAGCTTCGAGTTCATGTTTCTCTCGAAGTCTTGGTAAGTTTTGTTTTCCTCAAAGGCTCACCAACCATAGTGAAACTCAGAGACTTGTAGATACTGTTCCTTTTGCTTTAGTTTAATATTTAATGGCGTGATTTAAGGTTAGATTAGCAATAGTCTCAAGTTTAATTTGTATTAACTCGTAATTAAAGTCATTAGCTTTTACACTACTTTATAATATCCTTTTTCCTTAAATTGGGATTAGTATAGTTATTTTTCTAAAGGTTAACATATAGAAGAATCTTGAGCTTCTTTCTTCCATGGAAGACAACTCATCTATCACATATGTTACGTATACTCTGTTACATCCTAAACCTCTGTTTTTTTGGTTAAGCTCTCTTCTAAATTGTTGACTCTTTGCTCGGTTTAATTGGTAGACAAGATCTGTTTATCTTTATAAAAAACTGATGAGTCTGTTTTGAAAAACTTAGGAAAAGGAAGAGAATCCACTACATTAGAGATGAAACATAGAGAACTTTGCTCAGGGAAGACTATAGATTGGGGTAAGAAGATGAGAAGAGCCTTGCTTCTTGATAACATTCGAGTTCAGTCACTTCAACTCAGAATCAAAGCAATGACCTCAAGCACCACTGAACAATCTGTTTCCGAAACTCAGATTCCGTTAACCTCAGGGATAAAACTTGAGACTTTGAACTACATCGTCACAGTTGAATTAGGAGGGAAAAACATGAGTTTGATCGTTGACACTGGAAGTGACTTGACTTGGGTCCAATGCCAGCCTTGCAGATCCTGTTACAACCAACAAGGTCCTTTGTATGACCCATCAGTCTCTTCTTCTTACAAGACAGTGTTCTGTAACTCATCCACTTGTCAGGACCTTGTAGCAGCTACCGGCAATTCAGGCCCTTGTGGAGGATTCAATGGTGTTGTAAAGACAACTTGTGAGTACGTTGTCAGCTATGGAGATGGATCATACACTCGAGGAGACTTGGCCAGTGAAAGCATCGTATTAGGCGACACAAAACTCGAAAACCTTGTCTTTGGTTGTGGCCGAAACAACAAAGGTCTGTTTGGGGGAGCCTCTGGTCTAATGGGTTTGGGAAGAAGCTCAGTTTCTTTAGTCTCCCAAACTTTGAAAACTTTCAACGGAGTGTTCTCATACTGTCTACCTTCTCTTGAGGATGGAGCTTCTGGTACATTGTCATTCGGTAATGATTTCTCTGTTTACAAGAATTCAACTTCAGTTTTCTACACACCGCTAGTTCAAAACCCTCAGCTTCGTTCCTTTTACATTCTGAATCTCACTGGTGCTAGCATTGGTGGCGTGGAGCTGAAAACTTTAAGCTTTGGTAGAGGGATTCTAATTGATTCAGGAACAGTTATCACGAGATTGCCACCTTCCATTTACAAAGCTGTGAAGACAGAGTTTCTGAAACAGTTTTCCGGGTTTCCTTCAGCTCCTGGTTATTCAATCTTAGACACTTGCTTTAACCTCACAAGTTATGAAGACATAAGCATTCCCACTATCAAAATGATCTTCGAAGGTAACGCTGAGCTCGAAGTTGATGTCACCGGTGTGTTCTACTTTGTCAAGCCTGATGCATCTCTAGTCTGTTTGGCCTTGGCAAGTCTGTCATATGAAAATGAAGTCGGGATCATCGGAAATTACCAGCAGAAAAACCAGAGAGTAATATATGATACCACACAAGAGAGGCTAGGAATTGCAGGAGAAAACTGCATGCCTACACCATAACTTAATATCCTTTGTGTGTTCCCTTCAATATCATGAAAGCCAATCATCTCTTTTGGCAAAGCCAATTTGAATTCTCCCACTATTCTTATAAACACATATGTCTGTATCGGTATAGCAGTAGCAAATGATGAAATTGTAAGCGAAAAATGTTTGATGATCTTCTGCGAGGAAGGAAAATTATCTAAACCATAAGAACAGACAATGAACGGAGAAAAAAAACTTGAGAGATTTCTTAAACCTGGAATTCCAATGAATCCACTTGATAGGTTTTCTCAAGAATCTGACGTTCCTGTACCTAAAAACAAAAAAGATTCAACTCAAGCTTCATCACTGATCAGAGCGGTCATCTCTATCTTCTCGGTATCAACACCTTCACTTCTTCTGTTTGTTAACATCTCAGCCGGGAGAATGGTTGAGTTTGAATCAACATTTGGTATCAAAAAGACCAATCCAATTGGAATTACCCTCAATAAACTCCTGATCACAATAACCAACCACAGATTATCAAACTGAGTACGTGTGACTTTCAGGGCATGGAGTACTACTCCTCCGCCCCATGACGACATTAGGTGTCCTACATGTTCAATAGACATGAGCAAAGCAAAGAAAGTGCCTTCCATACCGGCAGGGCAGAGCTTGGAACTGAGAACAAGTAAGGGTAACCACTTGATTCTACTTATCATATGTGAAACAAACTCATCTACCACAATAAAGAAGTAATCAGGGACACCAAGCTTCAGATTAATGCGCAGCACCAGGATCAAATCCAGAAATCCTGACAGGACAGATAGGGAAAGTGCCCAGAAGACGACATTCCTGAAAGGGAAGTTCTTCAGAAAGTTCTGATAGAGAAGTATGCCCACGAGAGAGCCGATTGCACCAAACGACATAATGGATCCAACAGCTTCCTAAGGAACAGAAAATAACCACATTAAGCCGAAAAACATTACAGAGAGTTCCCAAATGTTTTAAGCAAGGGCAGGGAAGGTGAAATCCAGCTCTATTTGTGTTAGAACTTATGCAAAAGGTGAAAGCACCTTTGAAAAGGAAGGACCATCTTTTGAATCTGTGTACCAATAGAACATGCCTTCGTGAATGTGCAAGCTCACTGCAGCTGACAATAGCATGAACAAGCATGGTCGCCACACCTCACCATATTGAAAGGTTTTCCATATTGCACTTCCAGCATCCAGAAACTTCTCGTTAACCTGAAAGCAGAGTTACTGGATTACTAACTAGCTTAAAGAATCTGGCTGGACCAAAGGGTAGCAAAAACGTACATGCTTGCGACCTAGACTGCGAGAAGGAGATTCTTTAAGAACCATCCCAACCACAACAAGCAATCCTGCAGTCACACCGAGTAAACCGTACACACCCTGCCAAGAAAAAGGACAAAATGAGTGGAAAACACTTGAAGCATTTCGACTCTCTGAATTCCAGGAGAGCTTTAAAGAGCCTACCTTGGACCCAACCAAGTGCACCAAAAGGCCGCTAAGGGAGAAACCAACCAAGGAACCAATGGATGAACTCAAACCACACAAACTTTGCATATCTGCAGCAAGTGTAGGATGGCTTATGCTGCATTGTGTCACACAAGCATCAATGGTTACATCTGCTATAGCAACTCCAGCACTTCCTGCCACAAGACAGGACAAAGCCAGTGCAAGATGCAGATTCGTGTGAAGCCATAAAACCATCATGGAAATCATAGCAAGAACACCTACAATCAAATAGACAAACAAAAAGATTACATCTTTAATATATCAAGAACCAAAGGAACTAACTTTTTCGCTTGATCAGTGAAATTACCAGCGAATACGAAATAGGGTCGTCTCCTGTAACCCCAAACTGGGACAACATCAGTCAACAATCCCCAGAGAGGTTTAATGATCCAAGGAATCTGAATCAAACCAACATAAATCTGAGCTTGAGAGGGTTGTATCTTCTGCTCGTCTTTGAAGTAGTACTGAGTGCTGACTTTGCTAAGACCTTTACCAAGTCCTTGGCTAACTCCATAGACGACAATCACACCGAAGAAGAAGCTCCAGTGAAGCTCTTCAATGAGCATTCTTAACCACCGTATAGGCCGTTTCAACACCAGATCTAAAACTCCTTCTTTCTTCTTGTCTTGGTGATTTCTCCGAGAATCGTTCTCGTACTCTGCTTCCTCCGATCGATTCGCCATTTGCGTCCTTCAGAGAGAAGTTGACGAACAAGGGATCTGAGTAAAGAATTGGTACTAAACTAACTATAGAGCAGACGAGAGAATTTTCTTAAATAACTAATGGTTTGATGACGTCACGGATGACGAAATCAAAAAAAAGTCTTGGAATTTGAAACTCAAGATCAATGGGCTTCTTCTATCTCTTGACTCGAGTTCAAGTTCCATGAAAGATGGACTGCATCTTCTTTTTTACTGCCTTCTTATAAGAGATTTACAACAATTAGAGTTTCATCTTCTGCATTTAATTTATGTGCTTTATTTTCACGGTTATGTTATTTTCTTTTAATTTTTGCACGAGTCGTTATGTTATTGTTAATACAAACTATTTATTTAAATGCTTACTTATGATTTCAATGGCAAATTTCACAATCACCTAGATTCTTCACCTGTCACTACCAAATACATTTGATTTGAAGGGTGCTTAGTTGGTAATATTGGACTCTAATTGACAAACTTTTACCATAATTGTTGACAACTCCTTCCACCTGCAAAAATTTGAGGGCAGGTAGTAGACACATTATTATATTTAATAAATTATGACTTTTGTTCATTAATAAAAACAGATAATGGTTTGGAAGTTATCAAATTTATTATAAATGATGTTCATATCCTCTTTGACAAAAAAAATGATGTTCATATCCTATTTATGATATTTTTTCACACAATAAAATTCTTCTATTTGTGTGTGCTCTGTTATGATCAAAAAAACGTTATCTTTTGTTTACGAATTGCTAAATTATTGGGAGGACAAGTACATACAATCAGATATTCAATATATTTACAAAAATGAAAAATATAACAAAGTTTCTTGCTCTATTGGCATCACATCTCTCATGGGCCGACCAAGAAGTAGATAAACCAAGAAGCGATAAATTTTGAGGCATCCAATTTTGCTTGCCCTACTATCTCCATTTTCTTCTTTCGCTAAGTAGGTTTTTCAACATGTCGAACTCTAATTAAAATGAGCAGATTTGAGAATTTATAGTAAATAGCCATGGATTCAAAAAGAATTAAGAAAATAGCCATGAGCTACAGTACTTTGTCTGTTGGATGTTGGAAAGCACGTGTAATTACACACATGCCCTTTATAACATGTTTTTTTCTCGAATTACATGTGATAGAATAATATCTTTTTTTATCATATTATTTTTCGGTTTTACACGTTATTTATAAAGAGCACATGATATTTTTTGAAAAAACACTCTATTCAGTTTAATATCTTTCTCTATCATGTTATTTTATAGTAATACACGTTTTTTTATTATGATCAGATGTGATTTTCTTTTAAAAAATATTCTTATTTTCTAGTAATTCACGGTTTTTATTAAGATCACATGTTATTTCTTTGAAAAAACACTCTATTCAGTTTAATATCTTTCGCTATCATGTTATTTTGTAGTAATACACGTTTTTTATTATGATCACATGTAATTTCTTTAAAAAACGATTTTTATTTTCTAGTAATTCACGGTTTTTATTAAGATCACATGTTATTTCTTTATAAAAAGATTCTATTCAAGTTTAATTTTTCCGTAACAATGTTTTTTTAAAAAAAAACACTACGTAACAATGTTTTTTCTTAAAAATTCACTACGTTTTTTTAAATAGCATGTATTTTAGTTAAATATAACATGTGAAATTTAGATCTTACGTGCTATTTTGAAAAATATCACGAAACAATGTCGCCTACTGTAGATCTCAAAACAAACGGAGGATGGTTTTGTTATTTCACCTCTTCAGACAAGGTGGGTCCGTACTGTTTTCCGACAGAATTTTCTCTCTCAGCTAGTTTCTTAATTTATGTGTCAAATTTGGCTAGTTAGTAATATTACCCTAAATACATATGTAGATCTTGTTTGCTAGTCAATATCAACTGAAAAATGGTTCATTCCGATTTGAGAATTTCTTAATGGTGGTGTTTAATAATCAATCTGACTAAGAAAAGTGCAAAAATGGTAGCATATATGAATCTAATTAAGAATCCATGACAGTTGACTAGACACGGCTATCGAACTGGAAATAAAATCTAAAAAAAAAAAAATACAAGATAATCAGTGCCATAATCTTAGTGACTTTATCATATGATCAAACATCTTTGTACAATTTAAAGTTTGAGTTATAAATTTCTAAAATTGTAATTTGTATTTGTACAGTTTAAAGTTTGAGTTATAAATTTCTAAAATTGTAATTTGTAAAGTTTGTAAAGTAGTATTATAATTTTTGGTAAATGATTAACTTACGAAATTTTTCATTTCAAATTATTTTACAAACTTGATTAGTCGGCTGAGAATCTATATTTAAACCAAAATTGTTATAGAATTTATATATATAAAAAAAAAAGAAACGAAAGAAAGATGTGATGGATTTTAATATAAATACTCAACCATTTCCAACTATCTGTTTCTCATTTTCACCATTGTCTCTCATCCTTTATTATTCTCATTCACCGGTAATGGCAAAAGTCTCTCGGAGGAGCAAGAAAACAATCGTTGAAGATGAAATCAGCGATAAAACAGCGTCTGCATCTGAGGCTGCGTCCATTGTCTTTAAATCCAAACGCAAACGTAAGTCGCCGCCTCGAAACGCTCCTCCTCAACGCAGCTCCCCTTATAGAGGCGTCACAAGGTCTCTCTCATCTCAGAAACCCCTAAACGACATCGCTTGTAGCGCCTTCCTTATCGGGTAATTTAATTTCTCCGATTGTTGAATATAGGCATAGATGGACTGGGAGATACGAAGCGCATTTGTGGGATAAGAACAGCTGGAACGAGACTCAAACCAAAAAAGGACGACAAGGTTTGTCTATTACACATATATGCCCCTAACAGCTAACAAGAGGTTGTTAGGTTTTTTCGGTCTTAGATTGGATTCCGATGAACTCGGAAACTCCTTTTTCTTCGGACCAGACTTTGTCCTTCCACTGTTCTTGATTTGATTCTTGATCCTTTTCATTTTATTTTTATTTTTATTTGTGGTATTTTTATGATGGTGATGTGCAATGGATGATGAATGCTGACTCATCAAGTGCAGTTTATCTAGGTGAGTTTTTTTTTTTTTTTTTTTGCCAATATCCTTTTTTTTTATGATAAAGTAATGTACTTTTCTTTTCAATTTTCTTTTTTCTTTTTTTTGCCTATCACTTTTTCTTTTAAATACTCTTCGACAAAGTTATGAAAAAGTCCATATATACATGTGTGATATGGTTGTAAATTAAAGAATGAATTCCACCGAAATTGGTAGAGCCTGTTTACTATTATTAGCTGTTCTTTTTGGGTCCAACGCAATTCGTATTTGTCATTTTATACTCATATAAAAATAATTTAAACCTTATTGTAGATTCTTATTAAATCAATATATGGTTTTATGGATAGGGGCTTACGACGAAGAAGAAGCAGCAGCACGTGCCTACGACTTAGCAGCATTGAAGTACTGGGGACGAGACACACTCTTGAACTTCCCTGTATTTTTTCTCCCAATCCATATTATTAGTTTTGCTAAAACATATTTTTTTAATTAATTACTTCTCTCATGATCTTTGTAATTAGTAGCTACACAATCTTCTCGGTTCTCGCCTACTAGTTTTTAGAACAAAAGAAACAAAAAACTACATGCGTATACTCGCATAATTTATTCATCAAAAATGTGTTTTATAAACGGGACTGTTTATTATTTCGTGTTTTTGGTGAATCTTTTAGTTGTTTACTTATGACGAAGACGTCAAAGAAATGGAAGGCCAATCCAAGGAAGAGTATATTGGATCATTGAGAAGGTAAATTAACTAATTAAGCAATCAATTTTACCAAATTGATTAATCACAGTTATAAAATTAGCTTACAATATTCCGGTGTAGAAAAAGTAGTGGATTTTCTCGAGGTGTATCAAAATACAGAGGCGTTGCAAGGTAAACAGAATTTCAATATAAATAACTAGACTAACTACTCTAAATCTCTAATATACATAAGATGCTGAATCATGAATTTGCAGGCATCACCATAATGGGAGATGGGAAGCTAGAATTGGAAGGGTGTTTGGTAATAAATATCTATATCTTGGAACATACGGTATTTAATCCCACTTTATATATTTTTCTATCGATAGTAATATTTTATGAAATGTATTAATTCCTACTTTAGTAAAATCCAGTTTTAGCAAATCCAAATCTTGAAATTTGAGATTAGTATAAAATTGGAGGTATTCTTTGTTCTCCTGTTAAGTGGGACACTAGTAGACCATGACATGATATCATAATATTTATTTTATACTACACATATGAAAATAGAAATGATATTAAAAATGCTAGGGAACAAAGAAGGTCACGTTATGCATGAATGTAGTCAAACGAACAACTCTTAAGATTTTATTTCTTTTCTTGTCAACAACTTCAAGAAAATTTAAGTCACACACATGATAGATCTCATACAAAATTCAAAAGAATATGTATTATTGATTAATAATTATATATGCTTGGATGCTTGATATATGGACTTAGTGTTTATGAACCTTTAAGAGGGTAATCAAATCATGTTGGTTGGGAACTAGATCACCAATCCCATCTACTTACTCAAGCTATTTATTATATTGTTTTCACTTCTTAAGTTACTCACCCAACTTTATTGACAAATTCATTCCCTTACATATTATATATCCCAATTATTATTATTTTTGTCGTATGTGACTCACCCATAAGCACATTACCAAATTTAAATCCGAATTATGATTATGATGTAAGTATGAAAAGATTATACATGCAAAGATAATGTTTTTATTTATAAATAGATCACATGACATGCATATTTCTGTATTAGGCAAGATATCCACTTAATCATTGGGAAAGTTGTTAAAAATAAAAAATCCATATTTATACAAATGGGATGGAAGTTGTGTGAAATTATGGTATTGTACTAAATGTTTTTGATTTATAACATTTTAAACCCTGTTCACGTGCAGCCACGCAAGAAGAAGCAGCAATCGCCTACGACATCGCGGCAATAGAGTACCGTGGACTTAACGCCGTTACCAATTTCGACGTCAGCCGTTATCTAAACCCTGACGCCGCCACAAATCATCTCCCGGATTCTAAGCCAATTCGAAACGATCCCGAATCGTCGGATGATAACAAATGTCCGAAATCAGAGGAAATAATCGAACCATCTACATCGCCTGAAGCTATTACAACTCGCCGGAGCTTTCCCGACGATATCCAGACGTATTTTGGGTGTCAAGACTCCGGCAAGTTAGCGACGGAGGAAGACGTTATTTTCGGTGGTTTGAATTCATTCATAAATCCTGGTTTCTATAACGAGTTTGATTATGGACCTTGATCGTATTTCTTTACAAGTTTTGTTTTGATTATCTATTATAATGCATCGAATACTATTTCTTAGAGATGATTATCTCATAAAGCTCTCAAATTTCTTCGCCATTCAAAGGAATCAATATGTGAAGGTAGCAACTTTATTATGATAAGAATACAACACCATTCAGATGAATTTGGTTGATGATGATCATCTGAGTTTTTATTTATAAAAACCATAGTCTTGCTGAAACTGAAACATTGCCTGAGACAAATCTCTCAGTTCATCAATGCTTCTGCGAATGGAAATGTGGGAGATATATCCACCGGTACCTAATGAACGCAGATCATCATTGTTCTATGTGCATCATCATGTTGATTTGGGTTTCATTTATCATGTTAAGAGACTGTACCTTAACTCGTTCGAGATTCTCCAGAGCGGTTTTCAATGGTCCGGTGATAGTGCAGTACTTATTTAGAAGCAATGTTGCTCCGTTTTTGTCACCTTTTCCTTGAATGGTTAGTATCTCATGGCTCAGACTCTCAACTGCACCTTCGATCTTTACATATGCAGAATAACAATATTTCAGGGGAGAGAGTTTCCATATGACAAATCAGAAAGTTTTCATGTAAACTTGGATGGATACCGTAGCGAAATCAACCGAGAATGTAGAGTCCTTGTGGAAAACAAAGGCTCCTTTTTCATATAAATAGTTGAATTGCAAGGCTTGCCCTTTCCTGAGGCCAAAAGAGACGATAATGTCAGGAACTATATATATATATATATATAGTATATAATTATCTTATATCATTCATTACCCATGAGCTTCTGTGAGACCAAACCGGATGGATCGAAAGCAACCAGCTAGGAAGGAAACATACATACTCTCCACCATACTCTTCGAAAGCAAACCCTGTTGATTACATGGTTTGCAAATTGGACTTAGATGAACAAAGTTTCAATAACTAGCAAATATGATCATTAACCTTAGTGATGAGAAACTTCAGTGCCCAAAGACCAACTATATCTGCCTTTGCTTCTTCCATTGCAGAATGAACTTCTTGTAGTTCCTAGATTGAAGTAAACAAATGTGAATTACTAGTCACAGGGCAACCAATTCTTAATTAGATGTCTGCATTCTTCCAATAAGAAGTATAACCTTTCTCACTGTTGAGGTTTGACCATCAGGAAGGGTTATGGTATGGGGACCAATGCCATGGCAACATTCATGGCAAATGGTGTGAGTGAAGAAAGAATCAAAATCAACTAATCCTCGCTGTTCCTTGCTGATGGTGATTTCAGCTATAGGCTTTAAAATATGTTCAAACCTGGACAAGCAAAAAGGCTTTAGTTATACGTAATTATGACACACACCGTTTCTAGATGAAATATGGAGGGAAGAAGGAACATTACTTTGCCTCTTGGACGTTCTTGAGCATAACCATTGATGTTCCTCTATCTTTGACGATTTTTTCATCGTTTGGCAAATTGTAAGCAACAGTCTGAGGACCCTTCACATCCTGCCACAATCAAGAAATACGTGAATCATGAATAGAGGCGATACATTTTCTGAGCGTTTCCTATCTCAGATGGATGCTGGAACTTACTCCGGAATTGTAAATTAACTGGATGACCCGAATAGGAGCAGCAGATACATCTGTCGATTTGTATACACTGTCAAGCGGAAGATTATCTTCCAATAGCTACCGGAAAGTGGAAATTGAAAAATGATCTTAGAGAAAAGAAAATGGAAAAAAGTAAAGAAATGCAATTTTGATTGACCGCAGCTATGAAAAGAGCAGTACCTTTAGATTGTCACCAAAGAGTTTCAGATCGGCTGTGGCTTTATCATCTCGAATACCAATGAAAGTTTCAAATGTAGCCTAGACGGAAAACAAATACAGATTAGAGAGTAAACTTATGCAACGAGCCTATCATTGATTGAAACTAAAATGGTTAAAGGGAGTTGCATTTTATGAAGGTTAATGTATGTGAAGGCAAGGATTGTGAGCATCAGCATAAGCAAATCATTGCGAAAGAACATGCTTATGTAAAATCTTACCTTGTACCCAAAGATTTCATCCTCGTACGTCTCATATGGACCAATGGTAATATCCAACTTTGAATCCTACAAAAAATGATTAGACAAAGCAAAAGTGACTCAAAACTATGATGCAAGACTGATAATAACTGTAACACGAAATTACAGACCATTAAATAGGCAGAGATTGTCTTACAAGAGCAATCCTCGTTTATAATGAAGGAAAATTACAGAAGACTAGAAGACCATGAATGGGCGAAGAAGAGTTACCAAGTCCATCCATGCAATGTCTGACTCATAGTACTCATTTGAAAGGAAGGCTTCAGCTTTGCTGTGCAGTAGCTTCTTCAAACTATGGGAAAGCATTGTGAAGTACTTCAATATACTAGCCAATCGAATGGGTGAATACCTTTTATCTGGTAAAGGTACGAAACTGTATGAAATATTTACCTTGGCGAACTGACCAAGTCCCCAGCTTTGTGCAAAAGTTCAGAAGCTTTCGTGAGGAGAGGTCGATATATTTCCGAATAAGGAACAGTATACAGATCGGAATTAGAGTCTGGGAACTTCTTTGTGCTGCCGGCAAGATGATCAGAAGCATCTAGATTAGCTTCACTTCGCCTTTTTATAACACTGAAAAATCCTGTCGCAGCATGCTTTTGCTCTTCCGTAAGACCATTGAGCCACAAGGTGAACTCCTATAAGTTTAGAAACACATGTCTTACTACGGGTAATGGGAACAGAAAAGTAATTGGTAAAGACACATCAAACATGTGTGAGTACCATTTTATCCATGTCCGGAGGATAGAAATTGGCACCAGGTGGTTTAGTCACTGGAAAGGCTGCTCTATATTCAATACCCTTCCAGCCAGCAATGGATTTTGTTGCGCCAGGAAGCAACATTACAGCTGAATCCGCCGTACTCAAGAATGCCTCATTTTCATCAAGAGACGACCTGCGAATAAAATACTAAACATCAATCTCTTGGATCTATCTCTCCTAAACGTCATGAGGTTGACACATCAATATGTTAAACGAATTATGTTCAAGACAACATCTTTTGCAACTTTAATTAGCACATAGTTAAATTCTGCACCAGTTCCGTTGATGAATCCTAACCCTTTCCCTAGATCTTAAATGTTATAACAAAGTTAGTTTGATGATAATCACCATGGGCTTTTGTTGATCGTGAAGTAATCCCATTTTAATTTGTTCAGTTCTGATGCATTGGCATGATCCTTCAGCCAATCTCTTAGAGCTGGATTGCTGTTCCAAACCTGATAAAGGATAACTTTCTAAATCAGTTTAAGATCTGAGATTTCATGCTCACGGCCCAAAAAAAAGAAATTTCGGACTCCACAGAACCTGCTCATAGAATATATCGTCCATAATTTTTGCAGCCTTCACAATTAGACTCAATGCTTTCTGATCTGCTTCAGAAAGTTCTGTCAACTGCATATAAATGAAAGGGTGTCTCAAAATGCAAACTTCTTTAATACAATTTATTTGGTACATATGAAACAAAGAAATCACAATAATAGATGTGACAAATTAATACCATTGCTTCAAGGGTGACTGGAGAATATCTCTGGAGTTGCTTCTGCAGAGATAAACTACGCGCCTCAGAGTTCACTTGGCACCTTCACCAAATTCAGAAGAGATACTCTACGTAAGAAAAGACATATCCATATAAAACATGCACCTCAGCGATAGATGACTCATAAAAGTTTTCATTTGGTACCATGGAAGATATTAGATATGAGCATGAAAAAAAGAAGTAGCTAGGAGAAAAAAACCAATAATAGATAATGTACCTCTGCTTGATAATGTCAAATAGTTTTCCATACTCTCCATTTACATCATATGGCACATAAGCAGGATCTTCCTTAGCCAGAAAGTTTCTGTATTCTTCGTAAGGTACGTAATTTACAGCAGAGACTTCCTCTTTCTAAAACACATAAGAAAAATGTTACTTAAGAATCCAAGTGATTTTTAGTACTTAAACTTACAGCTTCGTGAAGGAAAAAATCTCACTTGAAGAGTAAAGGCTTCTAATGGGATTGGATGCAGAATTGTAACAAGATACACATCATTGAACTCATTATTTATGAATTTGCCATCGTTTGTGACACTGTCAAAGTACACAAAAGAAAAGCAGCACACTGTCTGATAAGAATATCTCTGCGATACTTGAGATTATCAAATCACAAATTAGCGAAACCAAGTTAGGTTCAAGATATACCAATCAAACAAAGCACTTTCAGCAACAAATAGTGTCTCTTGAGACAAAAGATTTGAATTAGAGAACATGTATGAGATAGGCCAAGAAACAAACCATTCCTGCAGAAAAACGAATATCTTTTCAAATGCATCCTTTGGGAGTTTGACGCCAAGCTCTTCATGGAGCTCCCGCCTACACAAATTGTCCTGAAAACGTTAGTAAACGGATAGAAGAAGTGACGAAAGCAGAATGGGATTTACTTACTGTGCAGATATAAGCGATGGATCACCAGCTGAGATATGGCCAGCACTAGAGATGTCCCATTGTCCAGGCCATGAATCTTTATCATCAGAACGGAGTTGGAGAAGTAGCTCTTGAGTAGTCTCCACAAAAATCCAAACATGAACAGCACGATGGTAATCTCCATCTCTGTGAACCTCTCCCCTACAAGGACATGAGACGAATTGAGGTTAACAATGAATGGAATTGACTGGAAAAACAACTCCCAAGTAACTTTCGATTAGAGAAGAGCTGATCAAAAACAAAATCCCAAAATTTTCAATCCTAAATCGGATTGAAGTTTTCTCGAATTCCTTTCGTCGAGTTTGTTGTGTAGTTGATGGGGTCAACGAAGCATCAAATCAAACCCCAAAACCAAAAAGGACGACTTTTTCCAACAAAGACGTAAAATTTATATATATGTATAAACAAGAGAGTTTGATTCAATCAAAATCACCTCTCAGTGTACGAATTCGATTACTGGGTATATCTCATCAAACAAGAAAGGGAAAACACATGCCTGGGTTTGGTCACACCGGTCTTCTCACCGGATTTAGTCAGAACGTCCAAGTGCTCCTCCGCCATTGCTCTCTCTCTATCCCTATCAATCTCCGTAAACTGGAAAAAATAAAGTGCCCAATTTATAGAAGAGAAGAGATAATGTCCGTCAAAAAATGGGACTTTGCTTACTTGGCTTCAATAAATCGGACCCTCTTCACTTCATTTTCACAGCTCTTCTTAGTGGTCAAGAGTTCATTTCATTTTTGCTAATGTTAAGACAATTTTTTATATCAGCAGCTAGCTAGTTCATGTTAGTAGTGTGGATTATATATATATCCAAGGTAACAGTTATAAGATTTCATGATTCTTGCAACAGAGACAAAATGAGATAACTCTGTAATGGTAATGACAGGTGAAAACAAGTTTAGTCAAGGTTTTTGGATCATTTTTTCTAACATTTCTTAGCCACATTTTCATCCCGGACTGCATTTTTATTGCTGATAGAGTGATGAAAGTAACAACAACTTTGTTGTTTTCCACAAGTACAATAATGGTGAGAAACAAAATACAAAAAGTACTCATGTGACATGCTTCTTTGTTCTAAGTGTAAACCTAACAAAATTTAGGTAAGGACAAAGTACCATTGAATAAATATGAGAGGTAGATTCACTTCTCTATGTTACTTGCGTTGATGCGTGTAACTTTCTACACCTTACAAATAACGCAACTTTTTCCTTACAAATACCAAGACATTATAGTTGTTCGTCAGCAGATCATAAACATGAGCTCTAATAATACTTGTTCTCTTTTGATATTTCTCTTCTCTCTGCTTCTTTTGTTGATCCTTGATTCAGCTGCTCTCATTTCTTTGGACACTTGTCAAAACTATTGTGGAAAATTCGATATCCCGTACCCATTTGGAATCGGAAAGGGTTGCTACCTCGACAAAGGGTACGAGATTGAATGCAAAACTGTTTCCGGAAAAGACGTTCCTTTCCTTTCGGTTAGCAGCAAAGAAGTTGTAGATATCACTCTTCCTCGTCAAAATCCTGATAGGTCCATGTCACATGCCTCACTTCACATCAAAAGCCCTCTTACTTCCCTCAATAAACAAGAATTCGGATCGCTTTTGAATTCGACGGGGCAGCGAAGTTCTCAATGGTTACATGCTAAACAGTATGCTACCCTAGAGCTTGAATGGTCTTTCCGAACGACGAATCTTTCACTCATTACCTCCTTGGGATGCCAGAATAAGTTAGAGTACACTGGACTCTCTCACAAAATAAGTTGCACATGCCAGAATAAAACTGATTCTGGTATTATCTACGCAAGTTGTGGCTGCACAAAGGGCTATAGAGGTAATCCATACCTCTTGGGTGGATGCATAGGTAATAAACTTTTTTTTTATCTAACATTATGTTCATCTTTTTTTGGTTTCCTTTTAAATTATATAAGATTTCATCTCCTAACTTTTGTTATTTTACTTATTTAGATATCAACGAATGTAAAGTATATGATGAAGAAGAGAATCCTAAATACTGTGGGGAATACCCTTGTGTGAATTTCCAAGGAGGCTATCGTTGCAACTACTATCCTTAATTCCTTATTATGGTCTAACGTCGCTTACTCTACGTAGGTCACTGAATTTCTTAAATGTTAAAAGATTATATTACCGGTGGTATAACACATAGACTGCATATCTAGAATACAGTACCAATCTCAAAGTGTGCTTTTTCACTCTTCTTATGTGATTTGCAGTCGGGTACCTCCTTATTGTTGTAGGCGTGTTGATGTTACTTGGAGTATGTGTGTTGTTATTCATATTTATTAGAAGGCGAAAGCGGATCAATCGCAAAAAGAATTTCTTCAAACGTAACGGAGGTCTATTGTTACAACAACAGTTAACTTCAACGGAAGGCACCGTCGAGAAGACAAAAGTATTTAGTTCGAGGGAGTTGGAGAAAGCTACTGAAAACTTCAGTGAAAATAGAGTTCTTGGACAAGGTGGTCAAGGCACTGTGTACAAGGGAATGTTGGTCGATGGTAGCATTGTGGCAGTAAAAAAATCTAAAATCGTGGACGAAGACAAGTTAGAAGAATTCATAAATGAGGTCGTCATTCTTTCGAATATCAACCACAGGAACATTGTGAAGCTCTTGGGATGTTGCCTTGAGACGGAAGTCCCTCTTCTGGTCTACGAGTTTATTTCCAATGGAAATCTTTTCGAGCATCTCCATGACGAATCATCTGATTACACGATGGCCACTTGGGAAGTGCGTCTGCGAATGGCTATAGAGATTGCCGGAGCTCTTTCATACCTACACTCAGCCGCATCGGCTCCCATTTATCACAGAGACATCAAATCTACAAACATAATGTTGGACGAGAAATATCGAGCTAAGGTGTCCGATTTTGGTACTTCAAGAACGGTAACAGAGGATCATACCCATCTCACAACACTGGTTTCAGGTACTGCAGGATATTTGGATCCAGAATATTTCCAGTCAAGCCAATTCACTGATAAGAGTGATGTGTATAGCTTCGGAGTTGTGTTGGTGGAACTCATCACAGGAGAAAAACCGATCTCTTTCACGCGACCTCAAGAAAACAGAACATTGGCAACTTATTTCACTATTTCAGTGAAGGAAAACAGAGTCGTGGATATCATCGATGCTCGAATCAGAGATGATTGCAAGCTGGAACAAGTCATGGCGGTAGCACAAGTTGCGAGAAGGTGTCTGAATCTGTAGAGAATCAAGCGACCAAGCATGAGGCAAGTGTCGATGGAATTGGAAATGATTCGTTCGTCTCCTGAAGATATGCAACCACTTGTGTATGTTAGTGAAAATGAGGAAGAAGCCATGGAATTGAATATAAGGGTAGAATCGAGGAACAACGTATATTTTACGGCACCAGCGTCTCAATACAACGTTGCTGCATCATCTTCATCGTGGTCAGATGTTGAACCATTGTTTCCTTCTCAGACACGTAAAACCCCAACCTCGCAGATGACTGTATAGTCTTTGCTTTGACCTTCAGTTTTGGTGATTTTGCTATAAGGTATTTCTATAAAGGTCGTCAAGTCTCTAGTGATGGAATTCGTTTGTATCGACTCTGTATTAATCATACACTTCCGAACAGAAAACGTAAGAATGTATAATCATATTTTGATCGTTAGTTTTTTTTTTTGGTCATCTGAGTTTTTATTATTGAAATTTTGAAAAAGATACAACAAACCATACAGACACTCATAGCCCAAACAAGGGAAACGTAGCCGACGGACGAATTGATGTCCTCGGAAGCAAAGCCGGAGGAAGACGTGATTTCCCCGGAAACTAGACCCTAAACAAGGGAAACGATAAAGCAAGACAAACATAACAGAACTTATAGGAAATACTCGCAAGAGATCGCACCCTTAAACTAAGAACAAAAGCCTAAAATCTTAAAATCGAAAGGATCCAAAAGCCCGAGAAAGCAAAGCGACCTCTTCAAAAGAACCTCTGAATGTGATTTATCAAAGCTGCCCCCGGCCAAAACCATGATAACATCCACCTCCTCCTATCACAAAGAGAGCCAATCTCTCGAAACCAAGAACCAAGACTTCATAACCCGACAAGCAAGACACCAAATTGAATCACAAACACGCTTTCGGATGCGACGAGGACGAACTCAACGTCATTTAACGTCTAGATAAAAGTCTACAAAAAGCAATCAGACCTAAACAGATCTAGAAAGCAGAGACAAGGAGAGAAGTCTAACCCCTCGATACACACTATTCCCATGCCCGAGAACAACGAATCGAGCCAGCTAACAAACCAAAGACCAACAAGAAGAAGAAGAAACACTTGCAGACTCAAAAGCTAAACCCGATTTCAGAAAAGACGAGGCCTCTGCTCGGGAAGGGTAACGATCCAAAAAGGAACCGAAGACAGATCCGAAGAGAGAAGGAGCTTGCGGGAAGAAAGATTGGGCAAACGAGAGTCACAACCAAACAACACCTGCGGCATAGAGACGAGAACAAGCACAAAGAGGCAAACAGATCTAGGTCGGGGAAAGCAAAAGGAGGCGTAATAACACGAACCACACCGAAAATCAAATAAATCCGGAGACAACCTCAACGCAGAGACCACCAAACCACACAGATCTGACCTCTCAACCGCTTCCACAAGAAAACCCAAACCACAGCTCGAACAAGACCGACGGCTCCCCAAACGACAACCCAAAGGACTGCAAACCCAGAGCAACAAAAACCAAAAACAAGGGAGAAGAACCGGCGCCGGCGCTAAGGAAGCCGCCCAACGCCGGTAATCGGAAAGCAAAGCTAGGTTGAAAAAGGATGAGAGAAGCCATTTTGATCGTTAGTTACATTAATTTTTTTTTTTTTTTTTTTTGTTATACAGAATTAAAATAGACATATTCCACAAGTTTTTGTTAGCTGCACATGGGTTCTCTTAAACTTTTAATGAACCTGACCAAAAAAAAAAAAAAGACTTTTTCTTTGGTTCCTGAATAAGCCATGTACATACAGTGGGAATTTCTCCTCGCGACCTAGTCAAATGTTCCCAAAATATATTTCTTTTTCTCCCAAGTAAATGGAGGACTAAAATATTGAAATTCAAACACGGAGGCTCACTGAAAGTGAAATGCTTTCACTAGGCCTACACCAGAGAAGCAAATGTGAAAGCGAAATTCAAAGATGAAGACTTATGACTTATTGCTGTCTCAAACTAAACACAACATTTCTCCTCTGCTCTTCCTTACAAAACCCGTCTCTGCTTTAGCTTTTCTTGAGAGCAGATCATAAACATAAACATAAACATAAACATAAACATGAGCTCTAATAGTAGTTGTTCTCTTTTGATTCTCTTGTCTCTCCTGCTGATCATTGATCTCACCGCTGCTCGCTCGTGTCCTGAGACATGTGGAGGAATCGGCATCCCCTACCCATTTCATACTAAAGGATTTACTGTGATTGAGCTTGGATGGTACTTTGATACATCAGATTCTCGGTTAACGAATCCTGTGGGTTGTGTGCACCAAGCTGTGTTTGTGAGTATGGTTACTTCTCTGGCTTTGGTTACAGCAACTGTTACTGCAATCAGATTGGTTACAGAGGGAATCCATATCTTCCTGGTGGATGCATTGGTAAGATTTGGGTTTCTTCGTCTATTTGGCTTCAATGGGGTTTCAATTTGAAGTGATTACGGATTTGTTTTATTTGATTCTGCATTTTTTGTTCTTTTTGTTTTTAAGCCATTGATGAATGTGAGGAAGGAAAAGGACGAAACAGCTTTGGAGAACAAACTTGTGTGAATGTTCCTGGATCGTGGAGGTGCGAGCCGAAGGAAGCACAGAAGATCAAGCCTGTGTTTCAACGTGAATCAATGGAGTTTTTTTTCCAGATTCTAGAGTCATATAACAGGGCAAAAAGGAGTGATCTTTATAGGTTTTTTTCGTCGTTGTGCAGATCTTGTTCTAGGTTTTGCATTATTGTTCTTGGTTCTTGGGATATGGGGATTTATCAAATTGGTTAAGAAGAGAAGGAAGATTATCCGAAAGAGAATGTTCTTTAAACGTAATGGAGGCTTGTTGTTGAAACAACAGTTAACTACAAGAGAAGGAGGTAATGTGGAGACATCGAAGATATTCAGTTCGAAAGACCTGGAGAAAGCAACGGATAACTTCAACAAGAACAGGGTTCTTGGGCAAGGAGGTCAAGGCACTGTCTACAAAGGAATGTTGGTAGATGGACGAATCGTCGCTGTGAAAAGGTCTAAGGTTTTGGATGAAGACAAAGTTGAGGAGTTCATCAATGAACTTGGTGTTCTCTCGCAGATTAACCATAGAAACGTTGTCAAACTCATGGGGTGTTGTCTCGAGACAGAGGTTCCTATCTTGGTTTATGAGCATATTCCAAATGGAGACCTATTCAAGCGTCTTCATGATGATTCTGATGACTACACTATGACTTGGGATGTGCGATTGCGCATTGCTGTTGAGATTGCAGGAGCACTTGCTTACTTGCACTCGGCTGCATCAACCCCGGTCTACCACAGAGACGTCAAGACCACAAACATACTTTTGGATGAGAAGTATAGAGCCAAGGTATCGGATTTCGGGACTTCGAGATCCATAAATGTAGATCAAACTCACTTGACTACTCTAGTTGCAGGTACTTTTGGATACTTGGATCCAGAGTACTTTCAAACTAGCCAGTTTACGGATAAAAGTGATGTTTATAGTTTTGGGGTCGTCTTGGTTGAGCTCATAACTGGGGAAAAGCCATTTTCTGTAATGCGGCCTGAAGAAAACAGAGGACTTGCGTCTCATTTTATCGAGGCCATGAAACAGAACAGAGTTCTTGATATTGTTGATTCTCGGATCAAAGAAGATTGCAAGTTGGAACAAGTGTTGGCAGTGGCGAAACTTGCCAGAAGGTGTTTAAGTCTAAAAGGGAAGAAACGACCAAATATGAGAGAGGTTTCAATTGAGCTTGAGAGGATCCGTTCATCGCCTGAGGATTTGGAGGTGCATATTGAAGAAGAGGACGAAGAAGAACCGCCATGGAAATCAACATGGATGATTCTTGGAGCGTCGACATGACTGCTCCAGCTTCCCTCTTTGATTTATCGCCCAAGATAGATGTTGAACCGCTGGTTCCTCAAAGAACATGGTGATGATGGAAACTGAAACACTACAAATGTGCAAAGTGCTGTTCAATTGTGTGATGACAAACTCTTCATTATAATCCAACATTTGATGATGTCAAATAAAAAACTATTCTCAAAAACTTTTAGCATATATATATTCGATTACAGAAGATTCATATTTGTACAATAATTGTGAATCTTGGGACATAATCCAAGTAGAATAAGGTAAGAGTAGATTCTCTAGGCCGTCACACAGAAAGACATTGCAATAGAGAGACAAATGAAAACAAATGTTCAGCTTAGGCTGACAGTCTACAAGAATTTCAGTTTTCCTTTGGAGAAAGTGGCTTGGACGTGTCCCAGTTGACACATTGCCTTGTCTTTGCCAGTCATCCCAGAACAGGACAAGTGCCTAGCGCCTAGTGTGACAGCAAAGTAGATATAAATGGTGCAGAGGAATGCCAAAAGAAGCATAGCGGTCAAAAGGAAGCGATGCCTCTGAACAACAGTAGAGCAGCTACCCAAGTCATCCCATTGCTTCTTTAGAGCATGTGGCCTCCGTAATGGTGATGAGACAATCCCATCAAGAACCATAGCTTCTAAAAGACCGTCCTTTCTAGGTTAACACCTACCTGAAAATGACACATTGAATTCATATGAAAACCAAAAGCAGAGAGGAGATAAGAATGGGTTGTTGGATGCAAATTGTCAAAATCATTTATAAAACTTGTAACATTGCCAAATTTGAAAACAATCTTCCTTGAAGCCACTATGCGGGACATAAAAAAAACGATGCTTTGATCTGTGTGTCGTCGACGAGGTTAGGAATTTTAAGACATTCATGGACCATTTATCGAAAGTAAAACGAATTCGACGATCCAATCGAGGAAAACTCAAAACATGAGGCCAACAAATAAAGGAAACAGATCGAATCAGGGAAAGAGATAACGAACCTCGGGTGAGAGAGAAGGAGCTGCTAAAAGAAACGACTAGGGAGGGATCTGGAGAAGAAGGATGAATAGCTGATTCCAGCTCCGTCGACCAAATAAATTTCTTCCTGCAGCTCCCAGAAATTGCTATATCTTAGGCAGAGTCGCCAAATTGTAGATCTCGTCTCCGGCTAAAGAGTAAGAGCCGATTCGCCGGTAAACGCGGGTTTTCTCAAAAGAACACAGTCCGTTACATAAACCGGATATTTAGGGAAAATATTGATTTCACAAAAAAAAAAAAAGAGAGAGAGAATTAATTGCGTGTTGGGTTGGTCTGGAATTCAGTTATTTTCCACTTATTACTTTACTTGCTTGTGTGACTTTTATAAATGTCCCCATGTGGTGTGGAGTTGTTAGTATTATTCTAGCTGGCTTTTAAGTCTTCGACCGACATTACATGACTCTCTATTCATTTAAATGTCCAAGTATTACTATATCCTAATAAAATTGATTGCTAAATACCGACAACAAAACTTAATTGTTACTTACTCCTACTAATCAGACTATTAAAAGGGAGCAGCCCACTAACATAGGGCCTTATTGTGCTATTAATATGGTTCTCGATTCCTCTTCTTGTTGTTGTTAAAATACAATTGTGACCAGATGGGCCATTGCTGGACTCTCTATGCTCTGATCCTCTTCCCAGGCCGCGAGTTTTGAGTTTAAGCCATGCATATCATGGCCCACTGGACCTTGCTTGACAGGCCTATGGTAATATAAATATTTTTGACTCGCTTATGTAAATAAAATAGGATCGGACCCGCGGTCCACCGCGGGAAAATATTAGTTTACATACGTTGATTTTAATATTGTGCTTGTTTCCGGTAGAGCGAATCGTGTAGTGTACTTATAAATATTCATAATAACGAATTGTAGAGAAAATGTTAAATTGTTTATAGTTAAACCCATCATATTAATTATGATTTACAAAATGGAATTTTATGTTTTAGAATTCTAAAGTTAGACGATTCATGGGAATTAGAGAAGTCAAAATAGGTCAAAAACCGCAGGTCGAGCCCAAATCATCTCACTATAGGGCAGATTTGAGAAAATATATTAAACCCGCAAATAAGTGGGCCACATGGATTGCTTCGCAGTGGATCATCGGTTTTAATCGGTTTTCGTCCGCTTGTTAGTATTTATTGATAAAAATATAATTTATTTCAACATGTGGTAATTTTAAAACTTTTAATAAATGAAATTATAATATTTATAAATATAATGATATATAAAATTATTTTCTCTAAATTTTTATTTATTTATTTTAGTAGTATTTTAAATGTTGGTTACTTTAAAATTAGTTAAACAAAATCTACGAACAACCCCGCAAATCAGCATCATTCGCGGGATGGGTTTGTGTTTCATATATGCTACCCGCGGGTCGTGCGGACCGACTAACTACAGGTCAAAATATATTTTGCCTATCGCAAAGTGGGCTTAATGGGACGAATCAACTCGCTTTGACAGCTATAATGGGAATATTATTTAGTCATACAACAAAATAGAGTTTGGACATAGGAATAATATAATATGTATCTTATGTGGTAGATGAGAGATTGAAAGGTGAAATATAATGATTAAAAATTAATTAATATTTTTTATGATTCACAAAATTTAATAAATATTTATCATCTTGTTGAATAATTCTAAAAATTATATTCAAGAAATCTTTATAATTTGAAAATTAAACTTCTTTGGTAAGCTATAAGTATGAAAATACCATAATTTCGATTTAATCTAATTAAATTAAAATTAGTTACATAGATTCCATATCTATTTAATTTACACAACCAAAATAAAAATATCTATTTAATTTATAAAATAGATGGGTTAGTTGTGATAAATTTTCTAGAAATCTTTAGAAGCAAGTAAGATATCTTTGGCTAATGCTTGGTGAAAATTCCAGTTTTATCTCTACTGTTTTAATGTTTCGGCCAATGAATTTTTTTATAAAATATATTAATAAAGGGTAAAACATAAAATTTAATACTTTTCTTAATTTGTGTGAGAAAACCTTAAATGACAACTAAAACGAAACGGAGGGAGTATAAAACAGTAAAGAATGGCGGTAGATATTTACTTCTTTTTTAATTTTAGAAGTAATTATTTAATCATCTAACCAATTACTTCTTTCTAAAAATCCATACTAAATATTTATAATTATTTAATCATTTGAATTTAAATTAATTTTAAAAAATTGTAAATAATGTTTTTAAGGTGGGAGGATTACGAAATTGTTAATAAAAAAAGAAAGGAAAACTAGAGATGTATTTCACACAAGAGAATTAGAAAAGGAAAATTAGAGATAAATTTGTGAGGGCATGTGTCACGTGGATTACACATGGAGATCTGTTGCCGCGTTTAAAATCCAAAACGCTCGGTTGATAGAGAGAGAGAGAGAGAGAGACTGTTGTAAGTTTTAACTACGGTCGGCTTTTCTCTAGCGTCGGCCTCGATCTCTTGATTGGAGCTTTTTTTAGGTCTGCCTCTCTCTCTGTGCCCTCTCTCCGCCGTCGATTTCACATTTTCCGACGATATGAAGCTCACCGTTAAAACTCTCAAGGGCAGTCATTTTGAAATTAGGGTTCTACCCTCCGATACGGTTAGTTCTCGTCTTTTCTACTTTCTTCGTCCAGGCGTTTGCGTAATTTTGCATAAGAGAGTAGAATAAAGTAAGAATAATAACCTAGAAGAGCCTCAGATCCACAATTTTGAATGTTCGGTGATCAAAAAATTTCATTCTCTAAGTGTTTATTAGCTTTGTTAACTGCTAAAATGATGACTCGCGAATCCAATCTGGTTTGGTCAAATTGGTCTTCAAACCATTTAAATCTGGGCATGATGTGCTTTTTTTTTTTTTAAAGATAATGGCGGTGAAGAAGAATATAGAAGATTCACAAGGAAAAAACAATTATCCATGTGGCCAACAATTGTTGATTCACAATGGAAAAGTTTTGAAAGATGAAACTAGCCTGGTCGAGAACAAGGTTACCGAGGAAGGCTTTCTCGTCGTTATGCTTAGCAAGGTAACTGTTCATATTTGGTGGCTACTGCACTGATTGTATTTTCTTTTATCTTCAATAAGTCGTCAGCCTTCTTATTTACCTTTTGTTGCAAATTTTATAGAATTTAACATTATGTGTTCTAAGCAAACTGGGACTGGGTATCCAGTTAATTTCCACCAGCCACTGTTTTAAATTGATAAGCACCTTATTGAAGTAGTTAATTCGTTAACAATTTATTGTAAGAGAAGAATTGTAATCAGTGGAAACTCTTGCTCGAGGATCCTTTAGACAAGGATAAAAGCTGGTGAATAAGTGTCTTTAGGCACATGTTGCTAGATGTCTCTTTCATCATTGTTCCCTTGCTATGAAACATTGTTTAGCTTGTGATAGCACTAACATTGTCTTTGCCTTTGGTTATTGATGAATTGTAGAGCAAAACTGCAGGTTCTGCTGGTCAGTCTTCGGTTCAGGTAGTTTATTTATTTCTTATATTTTTTTACATCACTGGCTTAGTCTGATGATTCTTAGTTTAAAAGCCTTCTTTCTTTTGTTTCACAGCCCGCTTCCGCCACCACATCTTCGACTAAGGTAACTTTCTTGCATGTCTTTACATGTGGAAATATGCTATGAGTAGCTTGTTATACTGGTTGTTCTCGTCTTGGAAAAACAGCCTGAAACACCATCTACAACCCAGTCTATAGCTGTGCCTGCTTCACCTATTACTGCTCAAGAACAACCTGCGTAAGTTTTATTATTGAAAAATGAGCTTCTTAAGAGTTTTTTTTTTCCCTCTCTCTTCTATTGTCTATGTTTTCATTTTTTCGTTTGTGGGTCTTGCCTACTGCTCCTTTTATGGTTTTCCAAAGTTTCCATGTTTGACCTCTAGTATATGTTATAAACCTTATCTGTTCTGAATTCACTGACACACTATAGTCTTCACAATTAAATGGTATGTGTCAGGGCACAGACTGACACCTATGGACAAGCTGCGTCAACATTGGTTAGTGGCAGTAGTCTTGAACAAATGGTCCAACAGATAATGGAAATGGGAGGCGGAAGTTGGGACAAAGAAACAGTTACTCGTGCACTTCGTGCAGCTTATAACAACCCTGAGAGAGCAGTGGATTATCTGTACTCTGTATGGGCTCTCTCTGTAACATTATTCCCTAAAAGTTCAAAGGATGAAATTATTGACAAATGTTTTCTTCTTTTAGGGAATTCCTGAAACTGCTGAAGTAGCTGTGGCAGTACCTGGGGCTCAGATGGCCGGATCCGGTGCAGCCCCTGTCGCACCTGCATCTGGAGGACCTAACTCATCTCCTTTGGATTTATTTCCTCAGGTATTTTAGTATTAATTGTGTATCCAAAAGAATTGAAAGGTATATTTAGTTACCATCTCACTCTGTAGTTTGATTTTCCCAGGAAACAGTTGCTGCTGCTGGCTCTGGTGATCTCGGGACACTTGAATTTCTTAGAAACAATGACCAGGTTGCTATTCTAACTTTATCTGCATCTCGCATAACTTTCGAAGTTCTTATCTTATAACCATTTGGATCTCTCTTCATCATTCATGAATCATGATAGCGGGTGAATGATTGTGAATATGAAAAAGGCATCTAGATTGGTTAGAACCACATTTCATCAACTTATGCGGAGATTGTTTGTCTGTTATAACCATTCTAGCAGGGGATGATTAACCGAGATGATGTTAACATGCTTTGACTGTTTGTTCCAACTTTTGTAAATTTACTCCATATGCTCAGTCTCTTGTATTTGCTATTGTATTAGTTCCAACAATTACGCACCATGGTCCACTCCAACCCTCAAATTCTTCAGGTAAGACTTGTCTAATTTTCGTTATACTGGTCCAGTAACTTCTCACTGATTCTTAAGCCTCTTGTGTTGGAACCGCTGCTTTTGTTACCAGCCCATGCTTCAGGAACTTGGAAAGCAAAACCCTCAACTTCTGAGGCTAATTCAAGAAAACCAGGCAGAGTTTCTTCAGTTAGTAAACGAGCCCTATGAGGGATCTGACGGGTGAGTCCTCCAATCTGTTTATCGTAATCTAAGGTTCTGTCAGATGTATTTATATGCTTCTTATCGATATTTCATTAAACGAAATAATTTGATTCAGAAAGTTTAAAATTATAACCCATCAGGGATGCGGACATGTTGGATCAACCCGAGCAAGAAATGCCACATGCCATTAACGTTACCCCAGCAGAGCAAGAGGCGATTCAACGGGTAAAACACCATTAATAGTAACACTCAGTTTCCATACTCTTTTCTTTGCAATCCTTCTTAACGCAGTTCCCTGGCCTATCTAACAGCTCGAGGCAATGGGATTTGATAAAGCCTTAGTAATAGAAGCCTTCCTCGCATGTGACCGTAACGAAGAATTGGCAGCTAACTATCTATTGGAGAACTCAGGAGATTTTGAAGACTGAGTTCAGAAAACATTCTCTCTTCTTCGAAAAAGTTTTGGCTCTTTTCTTACGTTTACTTATCTTCCGAGAATTAATGTGTGGGATTTGATCTCTCTAGTCTCTCCCTCTCTCTGTGACTTAGAATTTTTTTTTTCCTGGAATTTTGTTTTCTCCGTTTGCGTCGCGATTGGTGCGGTTGTTGCGTTTGTGATAGATATTTTATGTGTAAAAGCAGCAGAGAGATACAAAAGTGTGATCACATAATTCTTGAGGGATAAACATAAAAGTGTAATAGATATTTATCCTAACCAACATGTTCCTATGATGTTGTGATTAATGGCAGTTCACGGATTTTCCGATGTCGACCGGTTTTATTTGGTTCAGGAAAACCGATGGCTTCACTGGTATAGTTTTCCGAATTTCTCAAATTCTTTACCAGCAAAAGTGTTCAAAATGTGCTGTTTCATCTGGTTTCTACCGGTTGGTTTGGTAGAAATTCAAAAATTTGATTTAGAATTTTCTTGCATTGGTTAAGTTAGTAAACCGGATTTGGTTATTTCATCAGGAAAATTAATTAATTAAATATAATAGCTTTTCCTTATCCATTCTAGGTTAAACAATTAATGAGACGTAGACGGTCAGTTAAAAAAAAAAAAAAAAAGGAAATTTGAAGGGAAGAAAGGAGAAAAGGGCAAAAAAGCAGAAAGAGACCTAAAGTGGCGGGATTCCAAATTTAACACAGCCCATTTGAGCGGCGATCCGATTGTGACTCTCTCTTTCTCATTCCCTCTCTCTCTCTCTCTCTCTCGTTTTCTTTTCAATATTGTTTCCCGAGAAAATTTTGATAGAAAGTAGGGAGAAAAAACGTAATAATAATAAGATCATCATCGTTCGTTCAATATCTTCATCAGCACGATATCTCTCTCTTTCCTTATCTCTCACTCTTCTCATTAATTTTTGTTTCCTGATTATTTTACATGGGTGTCGTAATTTTCCCGGTACGACAATTTTTTTTTTAATTTCGTTTCCCATCGTTACGCGAATAGTTTATTGCGACGAGATTTAGGTTTTTATGAATCTTATTTGTTTCCCTTTTTTTTTGAAATTATTCTGTAGATTTACTCCAGTACTGGAACCAGCTGCGTTTTTGTTTTCGCCTCTCAATTCCAGGTAATCTTTGATTCTCCCCCAAAACACTTGATTTCTAAAGCGTTTCCTCCAATTTTGTTGCTGTAGGAGGGATTTGGATATTGAGCTTTTTGTTTGTTTTGAATTGATTTTAGTGAAACCAAAAGGATCTCGACAATGGAGAAGAAGAAGTATCCGATTGGGCCAGAGCATTACTCTCTCTACGAGGTTATCGGGCAAGGTGTTAGTGCTCTAGTGCATCGTGCTTTGTGCATTCCGTTCGATGAAGTCGTTGCTATTAAGATTCTTGATTTTGAACGCGATAACTGCGATCTGGTGATTATCCTCTTGCTCTCTGAATCAATCTGGGATTTTCTTTCTTTGCATTGTCCACTAAGCTGCTTACGTTTTTGTTTTGGGGGCAGAACAACATCTCTCGTGAAGCGCAGACGATGATGCTTGTTGATCATCCCAATGTCTTGAAGTCACATTGTTCCTTTGTTAGTGATCACAATTTGTGGGTCATCATGCCATACATGTCTGGTGGTTCTTGTCTTCACATCCTAAAAGCTGCATATCCTGATGGTTTTGAAGAAGCTATTATAGCTACTATATTGCGTGAAGCTTTGAAGGGATTAGACTATCTCCATCAGCATGGCCACATTCATCGCGATGTCAAAGTCAGTTATTCAACCTTTCTTTCTGGATCTCTCTTCAGTTGCCAATTCTTTTGGCTTATGTTACGTTTTAATCTTGTGGTTGTAAATTGTGTTTATCATCAAATGACTCTGTGACCTTAACTTCTTTAACTCATATCCTGATGGCTTGATAAACAAACGTATTGGGACCATATTTGAATATCCTTCCTTGTGATTATATTTTCATGTTTTCATTTCAGGCGGGGAATATTTTGCTTGGTGCTCGAGGTGCAGTCAAGTTGGGAGACTTTGGTGTATCTGCATGTCTCTTTGATTCAGGTGATAGGCAACGAACAAGGAACACATTTGTTGGAACACCTTGCTGGTAAGTGCTAGGTGCCCCAACACCTTCTTCTTCTCATATTTTTTTTTTATCATTGTTTGAGTTTAGTTCTCATGTGCATGACCTACTGTTTCTTATTTTCTCAGGATGGCACCTGAAGTCATGGAGCAGCTACATGGTTATGACTTCAAGTTAGTTTAGCCTTATTCAAAGTTATATCATTCTATTTGCTTATGTTTACTGGAAGAATATATAGTATATCTTATTTGGAGCATCTACTTCAGGGCTGATATTTGGTCGTTTGGTATAACTGGGCTAGAGCTTGCTCATGGTCACGCTCCTTTCTCTAAATATCCACCAATGAAGGTTCATAGCCTGTTATATCTGGATTTCAGCTCCAAAATCTCTGCTTCAATCTAAACCAAATATGTTTTCAGGTTCTGCTTATGACGTTGCAAAATGCACCACCAGGCCTGGATTACGAAAGAGATAAGAAGTTTTCCAGGGTATTCTCTTGGTTTTAAAACTTTATATTCTGTTCAGAATGTTTGGCTTATTGTCATCTCAATTTTTGCCTCTCTTCCTGGTATTTTCAGTCTTTCAAGCAGATGATCGCCAGTTGTCTAGTTAAAGACCCTTCCAAACGCCCCTCTGCAAAAAAGTTGTTAAAGCATTCCTTTTTCAAGCAAGCAAGATCAAGCGACTATATTGCACGAAAACTTCTGGATGGGTTACCAGATCTTGTTAATCGTGTTCAGGCAATAAAGGTTAGATCTGTAAAACTAAGTAGATAGCCAGAAGCTATAATGTTGAATGTTATCAATCAGCATCTTATGGGGAAAACTGATGGGGATATTCTTTCTGCATGCAGAAAAAGGAAGAAGATATGCTTGCACAAGAGAAAATGGCAGATGGAGAAAAGGAAGAATTGTCCCAGGTTTGTGTTTCCAGTTTCCAGTTTTAGCTCTATTTATCTTTGTTTTGAGTCTCTGGCTTTTGGTTTCTAGTTTCAAAGTATTTAGCCTTTAAACGCTTGTCATAGTACCATGCAGAATGAATATAAGAGAGGTATCAGCGGGTGGAATTTCAATCTCGATGATATGAAAGCCCAGGCTTCATTGGTATGTTCTCCTCTGACCCAATAAAAAGTTGTCAACTGAAGACAGTGCTTCATATAATGATTCTCTTATTTCCATCAGATCCAGGACATGGACTGTGGTTTTTCGGACAGTTTATCGGGAAGTACAACTTCGTTGCAGGCTCTAGATTCACAGGATACACAATCGGAGACTCAGGTGTCCTATTGTAGAATCTTTTTCAACTTCTAGAGAACATATTGCTAGATGTTCTGGAAATATCCAGTATCAGAAATGTTTCCTTGTTCTCATCTTCGTTTGTTATTTAGTCGAGGTTTAAATTCGTTATAACCATCTCTGCAGGAGGATGTTGGTCAAATAACAAATAAGTATCTCCAACCCCTGATTCACCGAAGTCTAAGTATCGCGAGGTTTATCTCCTAATTTTAACTCTGTGATTTGTCTATTTGGAATTTTCATATCGTTATCTACTTATCTGGAACTGCTAGAGATGAATATACTGAACAAATAATATTTTGGTTGGTCAGGGATAAATCTGATGATGATTCAAGTCTTGCCAGCCCCAGTTATGATAGCTACGTATATTCCTCCCCCCGTCATGAGGATCTATCTTTAAACAATACAACTGTTGGTAGTAATCATGCAATCAATGGGAAACCAACGGATTCCACATCAATCCCAACCAATCAACCAACAGAGATTCTAGCAGGGAACTCTGCTTTGGCAGATAGAAATGGTATTCCCAATAAAGGAGAGAGGTTAGTCCTTTAACATGTACTGCTATTTTAAGAGTCTTTTTTTGGTTCAGATTTCCAGTCTTATTATATATCCAATACCTGCCTCTGAAAGTCTTTAAAAACTTGAAGGTCGTTTTTAAAAATAAAATACTAGACGCAAACTTGACTTCAAAGCTCATATCCACTGACCACACATATACTCTGCATGCGACATTGAATTTTAAATCAACCTGTGGATTCCCAGTGATAAAACTCAAGATCATCTTCAAAACGGGTCAAACTGCAATGGGGCACATCCTACAGTGGGAGGAGATGAAGTACCAACGGAGCTGGCTGTTAAACCACCCAAAGCAGCATGTAAGGATTTACAGAAATTTCTTTATACTTGAAATTCATTATAAACATCCCTGTGGATGAATGCATTTCTGATTAAATAAATTTGTCTCGGTATCAGCAAGCCTAGATGAATCTGATGACAAATCAAAGCCACCAGTTGTGCAGCAAAGAGGGCGTTTTAAAGTAACTTCTGAAAATCTCGACATCGAGAAGGTAACTTTTGTTTTTTTGGTTTTAAGAGGAAAAAAGAGGTTTCTTGTTTCAATCACGTTTGTGAGGTTTTCCTTTGTATTCGCTTTCTCTTTATCAGGTGGTGGCTCCCTCTCCAATACTGCAAAAGAGTCACAGCATGCAGGTTTGTAATTGTTTTGAGTTCAGCCTAATCAGCTGCAGACGAAGAATCAAATGTCTATTACCACAACTATTCATCTCAAGGTTTCTTAAAGAAAACAAAATAACATTTTTACTTGCGGTTATGTAGGTGCTCTGCCAACATTCTTCTGCTCCTCTACCTCACTCTGATGTCACATTACCAAACCTAACCAGCTCATATGTTTATCCGCTGGTCTATCCAGTTCTGCAAACTAATATTTTGGAAAGGGTATGGCTTTTGCTTCTTATACGCTACTTCCTTTCTTTATATCTATTACCAATAAGAACGTTCATTGCGTAATTTAAATTTTCCTAAAAACAGGATAACATTCTGCATATGATGAAAGTACTCACCAACAGAGAGCTGACAGGTTTATTTCATGCAACTTTCACTCTTTTTCTGTCTCAGTTTTTCCTTCTGATTACATTTTTTCTTTCCACGGGATTTAAAGTTCCTTTATTTCTCTGATGTAGATGGACGTGCAGTTGAACAAGGAAGCGTACAACAACCTACTGTGCCTCCAACTGAGAAATCCATGGTATGCAATTGTTTGCAAGAAAAAAATGTATTGAATCACATTGCTTCAGACAGTGGAGCTTAATGGAACTGTTCTTCTGTTGAATCACAGCTTGAAGCAGCACACGAAAGAGAGAAAGAACTGCTCCACGACATAACCGACTTGCAATGGAGGTAACTATCGAAACCATCTATTTGTGTAGTTTAGATCAAAATCCATCATTCTTACTTGTTTTTGTGTGTGGTCATAGGCTCATTTGTGCAGAAGAAGAGCTTCAGAAATACAAAACCGAACACGCCTAAGTAAGTATGAGTAGCTAAACACAATCGTTCTTTTATGCAATCTATTCAATTCAACTAATATGTGTCAAATTAATGATCACTAAAACTCATCACTTGCCTGATCAAATTCCAGGTTTGATTTCCTAAGAAACCTCAGAAGATATGTGGCTAAGTATAAGAAGTTTGATTTCATCGTCAACAATAAGTACTATTTTAATAAGATAATACATCTAGTGAAGGTAAGATTTGCTTTCAGATGTTTTGTAATTTGATTCATAAAATACATCACTCCCTAGTCCCTACTATCATTCTGTGTTATCTTGTTTTTTTCTAGTATTTTTTTTTATATAGGTTTGTTTAAGGAATATGTGTTATGTACCATGGTAGCTATTTACAACCATGGTTACATAATATGATTTGTGTAATATTGATGATACAAAAAGGGTTATTGAGAAACATTTTCGTAAGATGGTGATTAAAAAACTTAGCATCTTGATAAACAAATACTATGTATTATGTGTTTTTGGATGCGTGTGAATGAATGCATTTCTCTCTCAACAACTCAGTGGGACAACTAAAACTTGTCGTCGTGTCGCATTGGCCAGCACACAATCCGTGAATTCTATTACGGTCATAATTGCTTTTCTTTCAAATGCTCAAATGTGTACATCTTTATTTATATTTTTGTGTTATAGATTAAACTAGCAGATATATATATATATATCTATATAAAACTAGTATAAAAATATTGGGAAATTGTTAAAAATGCCCCTTTTGGTGTGCCCCTTTTCAAAAATGCCCCTTTTAGATGTCCATTTTCAAAAATGCCCCTTTTTAAATCTGAAATTTTTATAAAGTTTTATTAGGTTTATAAGGTACTTATGGATTGTAACTACTACTTGAAGACTCGATCCAAGTATTTATAAGGTTTTATAAAGTGTTTTTAAAGGTTTTACAAGTTATTTTAAAGGATTTTTAAGGTTTTTCAAAGGTTTTACAAGATATTTTAAAGGTTTTTAAAGGTATTTAAAATGCATTTATAAGGTATTTATAAAGTATTTATAAGATTTTAGATACATACAAATGTAGTTTGTATATGTTTTAATAATGTTACATACATATTTGGGTAAATCTTATATTTTTAAGAACATTTTTTATAAAGTTATAAAGAAGGGGCATTTTTGAAAAAGAGCATTGAAAAAGGGGCATTTTTGTAAAAGCCCCAAAAATATTTTGTAAATTGTATCTCTTTATAAAATATTTATTTATATTATAGTTTACAATTGTTATTAAGTAACAATATACCACGAGTCCACGAGACAATTATTAACTAGGGATTTAACCCGTATTAAAACGGCATGTTAATGATATTTATAAATATTGATTCAAATTCGCCCGCCATATAAATCCGTTCCAAAATATAAGCCGTTCCGTAATTTTTTAACCGGTTCCGTAATTTGTTTTTATTTTAGAATTTAATAATTATTTATTATACATAAAAGTTTACAAATCATATCATTCTCTAAGACATTTATATTTTAATAAACTGAAGATTTAATATGTATTAAAACGGCATGTTAATGATATTTTAAAATTTTATAAATATTGATTCAAACTCGTCCACCATATAACGTTGTTCTGAAATATAACCCGTCCTGTAACTTCTTAACCCATCTGTGATTTGTTTTCTAAAAAAGTAGTAATTTTTAAAATTTAACAATTATTTATTATATATAAAAGTTTGCAAATTGTATCATTTTCTACGATATTTATATTTTATAGTTTACAATTGTTATTAAGTAACATTATACCACGAGACAATTTTTGGGTTTATATAATCTTTTCTAAATAAGACTGATTTAATATGTCTAATATTGGTCGTATTAAAAAAAATTAAGGATTTAATCCGTATTGAAGCGGCGGATTAATGATATTTTAATATTTTTATTATTGTTGATTCAAAAACCCGTTCCGCCAAACCCATCCCGCCAAAAAAACTTATTTATTTTATTAATGTTGATCTTATTTATGATATGATCTTGAATCATTGTCTAAATATTTTAATCGATGTAGAACGTTGAACACACATTTTCATCAATTGGATAATATATGTCTGTTTTTAAAATTTCGAATCACAGTATATGCAGAAAAAATTGATTTTTTTTTTACTTTATGTATTATACGATGATTCAAAACAGTTAAAAACAAATCAAACAAAGATGGTAGGAGAATCATAATTCTAAATGTTAATCAAATCTTTTAAATATCTAAATTATTAAATATATAATATCCGGTGTATGAGTTGAGTTAAATTTAACCCGACCCAACAAATTTTTTATGACTAAAATTTATAAACGGGTCAGATATCTAAATAACTCGTAAACATTTTTACCCATCCGTCACCAAAATAATTGAAAAAATACTAATATAGATTTATTGGACGAAAGACAAACAGAGTTAATATATTTTTTGCAAAACTTGGGTGGCTTCAGAAATCAGAATTTAGGTTTAATAAAGGTCGAAAAGGACCGTGTGACTGATCAATTGTTACTATTAACTAACCATTAATTAACAATCAAATTCGAACCATTACACAAAGACAGACGACAATTCTGACACGTGGCAACGCGTAATTGGGTTAATTTCTGGTGAATGGATACGATGCAGCCAAGAACCAAATTTTCCCACAATTATTATTATTCAGAAAAGAAAAGGAAAAAAAAACTCAAATGAAAGATCTCACGTGCGGAACCAAACTATGACCTTTGTCTGATCATTTCGTCTCTCTCTCTCTCTCATTTGTTCTATCTATGCATCACACAAAATTTCAACTTTTTTTTTGGTTCAAATTCTCTATACGCAGAAGTGGAGTTAGTAGTAACCGTTGGTCTTTGTGGGTTTGCAAGTATTATCGTCGCTGTTTCCAATAATCCTAAATCAGTTCACAAGAATCTGATTTAAACAGATTGTGATGTTCTGTTTTCTTTCTCTTTTTTTTTTTTTTTCCTTTTAATCCTTGCAATATGCGAAAGTACGAGTCTTTTTGCCCGAGAAAATAGCAGTTTTCCTAAAGCTAAAGCTAAAACTAAAAGCTAAAGTAGTGTGGATTTTCTAGATGCCAAGTTTCGGTTTTTGAGCCTTTTTAAGCTCTTTTCTGGTTTTCGTTTTTCTCGTTTCTTCGCCGACAAAAACCCCCGGAAATATCGTGGATTTCTTCGATCGGCGATTTCAAAAATTTGAACTTTTTTTTTTAAAGCTTTGAGCTCTTTCTTCGGAAGATTTTCAAAATGGGTCTGTGTTACTCAGTAGATAGGACTACTGGGAAGGAACCTGGAGAAACAAGCACCACCGCCACTACGGCGGATGAGAGATTAGGCTCCGGAAGATGGCGGCGGCCTAGAGATTTAAAGGGCGGCGGCGATATCGAAGGGATTCCACAGGTTTTGGGTCGTTTGGTTTCGAATGGTTCAAGTAAGATTGCATGTCTTTACACACAGCAAGGCAAGAAAGGAACTAACCAAGACGCCATGCTCGTCTTTGAGGTTTGTTTTCTTATATCTTTCTAAAAATTCATCTTTCACTCAGCTTTTTGCAACCCATTTGGAATTTCAGGATTTTGGTGAACAAGTGTTGTTCAATGTGTGATGAAAGATACTTGATTTGATTGGATATGTGTCTTGTTACAGATCAATGGATCTTCAGAACGTGATTGATTTGTTGCTAGTGCTTAGAAAGAGAGAGAAACTTGGAATGATGCATGACTATTATCACTTTTCTGGGACCATTACAAAGCTTAGTGTTTTGCCATTTCTGTTGTTCTTGTGCTGTCTTGAGTCTTTGACTGTTTCTTCAGGGACCACTAGTTACTTGACTCTTAGATTCTACTTCTGCTTACTTCTTTTAGTGTTTCATTGACATATCAAGACAAATTTCTAATTTATGAAAACTACTTCAATTTCCAGAACTTTTGTTCCAGAGACGATACAGTGTTTTGTGGTGTATTCGATGGACATGGACCATTTGGTCATATGGTTGCTAAGAAAGTCCGAGATACATTGCCCTTCACACTCTCAACCCAGTTGAAAACGGCCTCAGAGTCAGACCAAAGCAGCTTAGTTGGTGCGAATGGTTTTCTGATCAAATGTACAGAGGAAGAGGAAATGCAGACAACTGAGTCTGAAGAAGTGCAGAAAACTGAGTCTGTTACTACTATGGATGAGCAATGGTGTGAGTTAAATCCAAATGAGAACAACGATGAACTTCCGGAGATGTATCTGCCTCTTAAACAAGCGTTGCTTAAGTCTTGTCAGCAGATAGATAAAGAGCTGAAGATGCATCCAACTATTGATTGCTTCTGCAGTGGAACAACTTCAGTCACTTTGATCAAGCAGGTTCTCAGCTTAGATCTGCTTTTAATCAAAAGACCATTCATCGATTGTATACTAATTTCTGTGATTGTTCTTTTAGGGTGAGGATTTGGTGGTTGGAAATATTGGTGACTCGAGAGCCGTTCTTGCCACGAGAGATGAAGACAATGCTTTGCTCGCTGTACAATTAACTGTGGACTTAAAACCAGATTTGCCAGGTACTTCATCACAAAACTTGATCTTAAACTCTGAGAAGCCAGAGGCAAAAGTTTCTCAACTTTCTCTTTCTATGTACTGTCAGGTGAATCAGCGAGAATCCAGAAATGTAAAGGAAGAGTCTTTGCATTGCAAGACGAGCCTGAGGTAGCTCGTGTATGGTTACCAAACAGCGATTCACCTGGTTTAGCAATGGCTCGAGCTTTTGGAGATTTTTGTCTCAAAGATTACGGATTAATCTCTGTTCCAGATATCAACTACCGCCGCCTAACGGAACGAGACCAATTCATTATTCTTGCTAGCGACGGGGTAAACTAAAACCTTCAGTTACTTGCCACTAAAAATGCAAACTTTTTCCGAATCTTTGGAGCTGAAAAATGTTGTGTTTCTGAATTGTATTAAAGGTATGGGATGTGTTGTCGAATAAAGAAGCTGTTGATATTGTTGCTTCAGCTCCTAGTCGAAACACAGCGGCTCGAGCTCTAGTGGACACAGCGGTTCGATCATGGAGAATCAAGTACCCAACTTCCAAGAACGATGACTGTACTGTAGTCTGCCTCTTTCTACAAGATTCATCAGTAGCCATGGAAGTTTCAAGCAATGTAATGAAGCATTCACACAAAGAAGAGTCCATAGAGAGTGTCAGTAACAGTACAAGCAAGGAGGAGGATGAGATTGTCCCCGTTAAAGACGAGAAAATCCCTGCAAGTTGCGGGATTGAGTCGAAGATGATGACAATGACACTTGCGGAATGTATCTCGGTTGCACAGGATGATGAAGAGTGGTCTGCTTTGGAAGGATTGACAAGGGTTAACAGTCTATTGAGCATTCCAAGGTTCTTATCTGGTGAGCTTAGATCAACTAGTTGGAGAAAATGGTTGTGACTTTTTTTTGACTTGTGTGATTCTAAGTTAAAGCCCACAAATACACAATGGATATCACGATGTTCTTTTGTTTCATATCCAACTCTTTTTTTTTTTTTTTTCTTTTCTTGGAAGTTATTTGCAGATATATAATCTTTTGTTTCAATTAGTCTTTCAGAAGACATGTGAGACATTGGTCACGTTTGTTGTAGACAAACATCATTCACTATAAGACAACATATAATTTAGAATTAACAACTTTTTGGGGGTAAATGTAATTGGCAAAGGATAATTGTTGACGAATTGGATCTGTATTCTTGGATACTCTCTGTTTCTATAATTTAATAAATTCTAGATATTACTACATGTTAGACAAATGTAGTTTCTTGAAAATTGAAAGAAGTGGCTTTTACGTTTTAATTATTTATTTTTGGTTTTGGAGATGGTTGGGTTTTTGGGCACTTTTTGATGGGTTCCACTGTCTTGTGATTCTCAGCATAATGATCAAAGAAGGTTGCTTTGATTAGAAAACAGAGCTTAAGGGTAACCTAAGTTTACATGATTAATTTCGTAGTGGCTATTTGAAATTATTTTCTACTAATTATTTGGAGATGTTGTAACACCCAAGTGTTTTTTAATAACTAAAGTGCTTTGAAAAAGAGACACTTGAACCGTTAAATTGACTTCGAAGAGAAGGAAAATTGATTGAAACCAACTTTTCTTGGTGTCACTCGTGTTCCTATTGGCACACTTCTCAGAACACATTTTTCTTGATGAGACAATTATGAATCTTGTCTCATAAGGAAGCTACTTTAGTCCAAGACTTCACTTAAATATCAAACCTCCTCAAGAACTCATGTCTCTTGAGGAACAATATGGTGGCTTCCAACACTGTAACCGCTATATCGCGGTTGCTCTTGATCGGTTTCGCTTACTCGTTCACTGTCTTCTCAATAATTTCATCAGTGACTGACCCTCGTGATGGTATGTGACGACTTTTCCCTTGTGTTGAATCCGTTCGTGGAAATGATTGTAATTTACTTGTTTTGTTGCTTTTTATTAGCGGCGGCTCTGCGTTCTTTGATGGATCAATGGGACAATACGCCACCTAGTTGGGGAGGTTCTGATGATCCTTGTGGAACTCCTTGGGAAGGTGTCTCATGCAATAACTCCAGAATCACTGCTTTGTGAGTGTTCCTTATCATTCACTCGTTTTTATGCATGTATATATGTGTGAAAAATAAAAATAAAATATTAGAGCACTTCTCTTACTTATTTTGGTAACGTACTGAGCAAACAAGTATTTTGTGTTTAGGGGTTTGTCAACAATGGGTCTCAAAGGAAGGCTTAGTGGAGATATTGGAGAACTAGCTGAACTAAGATCCTTGTCAGTCTCTTTTGATATTATCATCGATGAGAGGAACATCTCATTTTGTTTCTTCTAACCTGTATTGGCGACTTGGTGTTGTTTCAGGGATCTTTCGTTTAATCGAGGACTCACAGGTTCTCTTACTTCCCGGTTAGGAGACCTGCAAAAGCTCAATATCCTGTAAGAATCTCTCCCGCGCAGACATCCTTTCCTTTTAACAATTATACCTCCTTTCTCTTCCTTGTGTTTGTGTACATACGTATCTAAACAGTTGTTTTGGTCTTTTCAGTATTCTTGCTGGCTGTGGCTTCACTGGTAGCATCCCAAATGAGCTTGGCTATCTCAAAGATCTATCTTTCTTGTAAGAAATTCGCATTTTGCAAATGCTAATATCTTGTACTTAAAACCCTCAGACCAACTTATGTTCCACCATGTTTTGTCAGGGCCTTGAACTCGAATAATTTCACTGGTAAAATTCCGGCGTCTCTAGGAAATCTCACCAAGGTCTATTGGTTGGATCTTGCGGATAATCAGTTGACAGGACCCATTCCAATTTCATCAGGCTCAAGTCCTGGTCTTGATCTTCTTTTAAAAGCCAAACACTTGTGAGTAATTTTATTTTCTCTGCAGAAATTTTCTTCAGCTTCAACTATATCTATCATCTGAATGCAAATGTTATAAAAACTGCAGTCATTTCAACAAAAATCAGCTCTCAGGCACCATTCCACCAAAACTATTCAGCTCTGAGATGATACTGATCCATGTGTAAGTCAAATACTCTTCTAATCATATTAAATGTATGTCAACCTTACGGTAACTCATCACAACAGATTTGTTTCAAATCTCAGATTATTCGATGGAAATCGATTCACAGGGAGCATACCTTCCACTTTAGGACTCATTCAGACACTAGAGGTTCTGTGAGTAACACATCATCTCTTTCTCCTTAGTTTCATGTTTCCTCCCTATCTTCAAAAAGATTTAACTCTCTTGTATTTGCAACAGTCGGCTTGACAGAAACACTTTGACCGGAAAAGTTCCAGAAAATCTCAGTAATCTCACAAACATCATTGAACTGTAAGTGTTGCCAGAGTTGTAATATAAGTATATATATCATATTAGGCATCACTTATGAATGTATACATCTTTGTTTCTGCCTCTCAGGAACTTAGCTCACAACAAGCTTGTAGGTTCATTACCAGATTTGTCAGACATGAAGTCAATGAACTACGTGTAAATTTCTCAGCTACAGAGAACGTCTTTGTCTACATTTATGCGTTTGTGTGTTCTGATTAAGTGTGATGTCTGTCACAGGGATCTCAGCAATAACTCATTTGATCCATCAGAGTCTCCTCTGTGGTTCTCAACCTTACCTTCACTGACCACACTGTAAGTGCTGCTCTGCTACAGTAAACTTGCGCATTGTCTCATGAGAAACTCTCTAAATACATACTCTACCTATTTTGGATTTAGGGTGATGGAATATGGAGCTCTTAGAGGACCACTGCCTAATAAGATCTTTGGATTCCCACAGCTTCAACAAGTGTAAGTTTCAGCATTTAGTCTCTACTGAAGTTTGATTACAGCTTTAGACATCATCTAACTGCTGATTTTGACTTGCACAGGAAACTAAAAAAGAACGCATTCAATGGAACACTGAGCTTGGGAGACACAGTAGGTCCACAACTCCAACTTGTTGATCTACAAGACAACGACATTTCCTCTGTAACACTAAGCTCTGGATATACCAATACATTAATGTAAAAAGCTTCTTTCTTCCTATATTTACTTCAACCTGTCTATATCAACCTATTAAATAAGCTCTCTCTTGTTGCAGCCTCGTCGGAAACCCTGTATGTACAACAGCTCTCTCAAACACAAACTACTGTCAGATTCAGCAGCAACAAGTCAAACGAATATACTCGACCAGTCTTGCTAACTGTGGCGGAAAGTCTTGTCCATTAGACCAAAAGATCAGCCCTCAGAGCTGTGAATGCGCCTACCCTTATGAAGGCACACTCTACTTTCGAGGGCCTATGTTCAGAGACCTGTCCAATGTGAACACATACCATTCACTGGAGATGAGCTTGTGGGTGAAACTAGGACTCACTCCAGGCTCGGTCTCTCTACAAAACCCTTTCTTCAACAATGATGATTATCTTCAGATACAGTTGGCACTTTTCCCACCTATGGGCAAGTATTTTAACAGAACTGAAGTTCAGAGAATTGGATTTGACTTGAGTAACCAAACATACAAACCTCCTCCCTTGTTTGGACCTTACTACTTCATTGCATCTCCCTACACTTTCCCAGGTAGCTGTACATATAAGAAGCTTATACACCTGTCTTTCAAGTTGAAGACATTGGGCTCTAACAATCTAATAACTTTTGGCAGCTGAAGGTAACGGACATTCCTTGAGCTCTCGGATGGTCACTGGGATAATAACTGGTTGCAGTGCTTTGGTCCTGTGCCTTGTTGCACTAGGAATATATGCGATTTGGCAGAAGAGACGAGCAGAGCAAGCTATCGGTTTGAGTAGACCATTTGGTAAGTCCAAGGTTCTAGCAGAATCTCTGAGGTCCATCTGATAAAAAAATGCATTAACTTACATGGTAGATTTGCTGTAAAGTAGAAGACTAAAATATCTTTTAGTAGAAGGTTTTACAATTGTCTTTTGATTCACTCAGTTTCATGGGCATCGAGTGGAAAAGACAGCGGTGGCGCGCCGCAGCTGAAAGGGGCACGATGGTTCTCCTACGAAGAACTCAAGAAGATCACGAACAATTTCTCTGTGAGCAGTGAGCTGGGTTATGGAGGTTATGGAAAGGTGGATTTTTGAAAGATCGATCAATGCTTTTGAAACTATCTAGGGCTTCACTTTCAGGGTTTGACAAGTAACGCTCCTCTGTTTATCTCTGTAATCTCCGTAGGTGTATAAAGGAATGCTTCAAGATGGGCACATGGTGGCGATCAAAAGAGCACAACAAGGATCAACACAAGGAGGGCTCGAGTTCAAAACAGAAATTGAGTTGCTTTCTCGAGTTCATCACAAGAACCTAGTTGGACTTGTCGGGTTTTGCTTCGAGCAAGGCGAGCAGATTCTAGTCTACGAGTATATGTCCAACGGATCACTAAAAGATAGCTTAACCGGTACGGCAAAATCTCTGCTCAATAAATCATAAGACACAAAACTTGACCTTTACGCATTGTTGTTAGGGCGATCCGGAATTACGCTGGATTGGAAAAGAAGGCTGAGAGTGGCTCTAGGATCGGCAAGAGGACTCGCATACCTCCATGAACTTGCAGATCCTCCGATCATCCACAGGGACGTGAAATCAACCAACATTCTTTTGGATGAGAATCTCACAGCCAAGGTTGCTGATTTTGGGTTGTCCAAGCTGGTTTCAGACTGCACCAAAGGCCATGTTTCAACACAAGTCAAAGGCACATTGGTAAGTTTTAGATAAATCAACGAATCATTGCTTTCAGTTTTAGGAACTTTTGTTTCTGATGATTCAATGGCAGGGATATTTGGACCCGGAGTACTACACAACACAGAAACTGACAGAGAAGAGTGATGTTTACAGCTTCGGTGTTGTAATGATGGAGCTGATCACCGCGAAACAGCCGATAGAGAAAGGCAAGTACATTGTTAGAGAGATCAAGCTTGTAATGAACAAGAGCGACGATGAATTCTACGGACTGAGAGATAAGATGGATCGTTCGTTAAGAGACGCCGGAGCTCTGCCAGAACTCGGCCGGTATATGGAACTAGCCCTGAAATGCGTAGATGAGACGGCGTCTGAGAGGCCAACGATGAGCGAAGTGGTTAAGGAGATTGAGATTATCATCCAGAATAGTGGGACGAGTAGTAGCTCCTCTGCATCTGCGTCGTCTTCGGCTACAGATTTTGGAGAGAAGCTTTTGTACGGAGGTAGTTTGAGGAAGAAAGAAGCAGGAGACGGAGATGGAGGCGGAGCGTTTGATTATAGTGGTGGCTACTCTGTTCCGACCAAAATTGAGCCCAAGTAATAATTTAAGAATTATGAACATTTTCTCTGAGATTATTTGTCGTTACTTTTTGCATGAATGAAAAGTCAAGGTATATAAAGAGTTGAGTTGACCAAAACAAAGAGTTTTTATACTACTTGCGTAATCATTAATCTTGTGTATATCGAATTAAAACTGTCCACGTATAGACAGACGTCATTTGCCTTTTCAGGCCCAAAAACGGTATGCCACCACCATATACTAGAGTAGTTGGGCCCAAATAAACTAGAGTAGTAGGCCCGTAAAAGCCCAAAACGGAAAGCCACCTGAGAAGCAGTGGGGACGCAGATTCCTATAAAAAGGAAAATGCGTCCTCACAAAGGAAGAAGAAGAAGAAGAAGTCTATCTCACGAGTTCCCGTTTCGTGAATCTCTCTCTTTCTCTCTCTCTCTCTTTGAACAAAGACGACGAAGACGAAGACGACGTACCACTGATAGAAACCCTAGTTTTTTTTTTAAATTCCGTCGAGGCGTAATGTCGTCGGAGCTGCAGATTTCGCCGGCGATTCACGACCCGCAAGGTCAAGAGAAGCAGCAGCAAGCCGCCGGAGTCGGTATTTTGCTTCAGATCATGATGCTCGTCCTCTCTTTTGTACTCGGTCATGTCCTTCGCCGTCATAAGTTCTATTATCTACCTGAAGCTAGTGCTTCTCTCCTAATCGGTTTGTTTTCTCGTCTTCTTCTTACTCCTCCTTTGCATTGCGATCGTCCTTTTCGTTTTCCATCGATTGTTTTGTTTGATTCCTTGTGAAATTTGTCGAATTTTAGGGCTGATCGTTGGTGGTTTAGCGAACATCTCGAACACGGAGACTAGCATAAGGTTCGTTGAACTTCTTCTCTTCAGTTTTTTTAGTATTTTTCTGTCCTTTCCTCCATTGACCTGGAAACTCAAAGGATTGTAAATTACTCACTCATTACATACACGAATATGTGTATATATGTATGTAAGTGTTCTTCAATGCTAATCGATTTTGCTTTTTCTGCAGGACATGGTTCAATTTCCACGACGAGTTCTTCTTTCTGTTTCTGCTGCCTCCCATCATATTATATCCTTAAAATCGAGTTTGAATGTTCTTGCCTTTAGTTTTAATTACGCCTCAGTGTTACATAATCTTTTCAATGAATCACAACTTGGCTACAAAATACTATGTTGTTTTCCTTGACCTACTTGTTTGCACCCAGTCAGGCTTCAGTCTACAACCTGTAAGTGCAGAGACCTCTCATGTCTTTATGGTTTTCTTGTTTTACCATCAGAGATTGCATCCTTGCTTACGTTGTTGCTGGGTTTTATGCAGAAACCTTTCTTTTCAAACTTTGGAGCCATTGTCACTTTTTCAGTTCTTGGAACTTTTGTAGCTTCCATGGTTACTGGAGTGCTAGTGTTAGTATCTCTGTCTTGTGAATGGCTTATCTTTGTTGACGGAAAAGGTCCTCTTTCCATTATTCATAAATGCTTTTTTCTTTTGAAGGTACCTTGGCGGTGTGATGTTTCTCATGTACAGACTTCCATTCGTCGAGTGTCTCATGTTTGGCTCTCTTATCTCAGCCACTGATCCTGTCACTGTATTGTCGATATTTCAGGTACTTTCTTTCACTGCTATACGGGGATATATTCACTATTTTTTTAATGATAGTAGTTTTCAACCACTTCTTACTACTGTATTTTTTGGCAGGAACTTGGTTCAGATGTAAATTTGTATGCCTTGGTGTTTGGAGAATCAGTTTTAAATGATGCTGTAAGTAGTTTTTGTGAAGGGATTTCTGATTCCTTCTATGTATATATTAGGATGAAAAATGTCATTACTTATCAGGTCTTTCTCTTTCTTATGTTGCTTTTGGCAGATGGCGATATCTCTGTACAGGTCTGTTAGCTAATTCAAAATAGGGTTTGAAACACGATATTCAGAAGGTAAGGTATTTTAACAAGGCTATAAATAAACTGGGATGCAGGACAATGTCCTTGGTGAGAAGTCATTCCTCTGGACAGAATTTCTTTATGGTGATAGTCAGGTTTCTCGAAACGTTTGTCGGTTCAATGTCGGCAGGTTTGCTTTAATCATACTTTTTCTCTGTCCCTATATTTCATGCATACTTTGGCTCTTTCAACTTGAAACGGCTTGGTAGTGTTTGAGTTTGAGAATGCTGCTAATAAAATTCGACGTTATGATTCTTATGAACAAGTTTTAACCTAAGAAATATAGCATATGAATATCATACTAAATTTGACTTTCTTATGCCATTATATATTCTTATATTTTGCTCTGTGGGTTATTAACAAAAAACTATGTGCATCTGCAGGCGTTGGAGTTGGATTCACCTCTGCTCTAATATCCTTTTTGTGTTTTAGATTCTTCTGAAACATTTCACTTCATTCCATACACATAGACGAGTTGTTAGCCTTAATGCAAAGCACCTATTCAAGTATGCAGGACTGGATGTTGACAAGTGAGTGACTGTAGTCTGTGTTTGAAAATTTCTTTATTTCGGGTTCTAATGGTCAGCAATGAAAGATTTTATTCTGATTCACTCGCTCCTTCTTCCAGTCTACAGAACTTGGAGTGCTGTCTCTTCGTGCTTTTTCCATATTTCTCGTAATAAAACTCTTCTCTTCTATATTAGCTATGTGTCTTCTATATTAGCTATGTGTCTCCTATATTTCACTCACATAGAAATGTGCAGTTTGTTAACTTTGTTTTGTTTGTGCTAGATACATGCTTGCTGAAGGTCTCAGTCTATCTGGCATCGTATCGATCCTATTTACAGGGATTGTGAGTTGTCATTTAATTATATGAATTCTATGTGTAATGATTTTCGGCCAAAAGTAAAGTAGTGTAATGGAAACTGCCTGTGCCTTCCAGGTCATGAAACATTATACCTACTCAAACTTGTCTGCAAATTCTCAGCGATTTGTGTCTGCATTTTTCCATCTGATATCTTCACTGGCAGAGACTTTTGTGTATGTATTTAATTCTTATTTTCTCATGCATATTAATAGTTGGTTTCTGTAATTTGCGTCAATGACGTGACCTTCTATTTTCAAATGATCAAATCTGCAGGTTCATCTACATGGGTTTTGATATTGCCATGGAAAAGCATAGTTGGTCACACTTGGGATTCATCTTATTCTCTATTGTATCCTCTTACTCAAGTTTTACTGCATTGAAATTCAATTATTTCCTTAGTTTATATGTTGTTCCTTAACTTTCTTTTTATCCTTGGTGACGAACCTCAGTTATTTATCGTAATAGCAAGGTATTCTTTTTGTTTCACTTACATGATCTGTATAAGTACATGTATTTATTTCCGAACAGTATTTCTTTTTCTGCTGTTGTTTTTGATGTCTGATACTGTTACTCTTTGGCATATTTGTCTTACTCAGGGCAGCTAATGTGTTTGGTTGTGGATATTTGGTCAATCTGGCACGACCTGCTCATAGGAAAATACCAATGACGCATCAAAAAGCACTTTGGTACAGTGGTAAGATACTGCTCTGTGTTTCCTTAAGTAGTTATTGTTTTCAATTAATCAGTAATAATTAACAAAGACATGTGGATTGCATAGGACTTCGAGGTGCTATGGCTTTTGCTCTTGCTCTACAATCTGTTCACGATCTCCCAGAAGGACATGGTCAAACTATATTTACTGCAACTACAGCCATTGTTGTTCTGACGGTAATCCATCCTTCTTTAGGAATTACAGTTTTCTTTAAACTGAGCGTCCTGATCAAAGGTTTATGTTGCTGACAGCTGAGCCAAACTATATTGCTTATTATGTGATCCTTGATGCTACTGGAAATGATTGCAGGTGTTGCTGATTGGAGGATCCACTGGTACAATGCTTGAAGCCCTAGAGGTAGTAGGTGATAGCCACGATACATCCTTAGGTGATGTAAGTCAACTGAATATATATATGAGACATTTACGTAGACTCCTAAAGATAACGTTAATGTCTCGGTCTCTTGGTGTGGAAAACGACATGATTGATATGTTTATTGTCAGGGCTTTGAGGTGGTGAACAGTCGTTTTATGAATAGTTATGATGATGAAGATACACCGCCAGGAAGTGGATTCAGGACAAAACTAAGAGAGCTCCATAAGAGGTAAATGACTGATCAACTAACGCCTCACAACATATTTTGTTGGGCTTTCAAGTTTCTGTTAAAAGAAAAGAATCCCATTTGTGTTTATTGTTTTGTTGTTGTATGCAGTGCGGCATCATTCACAGAACTAGATAGGAACTACCTAACACCGTTCTTCACAAGTAACAACGGAGATTATGATGATGAGGGTAACATTGAGCAACACCATGGTAACAACATAATATACTTCTGATATCTTGTTTCACTACTACATATGCTTTATTTGTTATTTTTCGCATGCAAAAACCATGAAATTTACAATTGGGTTTTGCAGAAGAGCGAATACCATTTACTAGAAGAGGAAGTGTAAATAACCGCGGCTAAGTTTCGGAGACAAGAAATCTAATAGTTTTTTCAGCGGCATATATATGTACATAAAACAAAGTGGATGTATGGGAGGAAGTAGTGACAAAGGATTTGTTGTAGCTAGGTTTCTCTATAATATGGGACTGTGTTGTTTGGTTTAAACCTCAATGGATATCGTTAGGTTGAAACTAATTACCTACACAAAAAAAAAAAAAAAAGGAAAAAAGAAAGGCCATGGCTGGTCGTGTTAGTTTTAAACTAACAAGAATCGTGGGATAGTTTAAAACCTATCGTGCTTGTTAGTTTAAAACTCTTATGGTAGTCGTGTTTGTTTGGGTTGAATTATTATTAAAAAAAAAAAAATAGAGAACGTCACGGCACGCCAAAAGTGTGGACCGAAGTAAGTAACCAAAACCGCTTCTAATCTCTCTCTCTCTCTTGTTCTTCTTTCATGGCTGTTACTGGCTGGGCAATCACAATCTGAATTCTTTCTTATTTCTTCTTTCTTCTCTATCTGATTTTCGCCGAGTTACACGATGAGCCTCGTGGTTGGTCAGTCGCTGGGTTTAACTCTAGTCGGTGATGGTCTTTCGTTACGCAATTCGAAAAGAAATGTCGGAAAATCCAAGTTTTTCTCAGTCAATCGGAGGAGATTGGCGCGTGCGGCTCTGGTTCAAGCTAGGCCTAAGGAAGATGGAGCGGCATCGAGACCGACTACGACGTCCGTTGTGCAGTACCGACGAGCTGATCTCGCGGATGATCTTCAAGCTGAGGCACGAGCTTTGGGTCGTGCTGTTGATGCTTCTATTTATTCTCCGGAGCTCATCGCCAGGAAACATGGCTCTCAGCCTTTCAAGGTTAGCTACTTGCTCAGTTTTTGGAGTTTTCAAGTTTTTGTAAATGATATACTGAGAGACGCAGCTCAATTCTTGGGACTTAGGCTTTGCGGAGAAGTTTGGAGATATTGGGAGCTTTGGGTGGTTTCGCTTTGAAATTGGGGATTGATCAGAAGCAAGGCAACTTAGAGAAGAACATGAAGAAGAGAGCTGGTGAGCTCCGTCGGATTTTCACTCGTCTCGGACCTACTTTTGTTAAATTGGGTCAAGGTTTGTCCACCCGACCCGACCTCTGTCCACCCGATTACCTTGAAGAACTTGCAGAGCTTCAGGTTCTCCTCTTTCCTCTCTCTATTTTATGTAATTAAGAAACTTTTGTTTGAAATAGGTAAGAGAACATCTCTAACTTTCTCTATATTATGTGTTTGAGTGCCTAAGTAGGATGCTTTGCCTACCTTCCCTGATGCAGAGGCATTTGCTTGCATTGAGAGAGACTTGGATTTGTCTCTAGAGTCCATTTTCTCGTCTGTATCCCCTGAGCCAATCGCAGCAGCTAGTCTTGGCCAGGTTTACAAAGCTCAGCTGAGGTATTCAGGTCAGGTTGTTGCTGTCAAAGTTCAACGCCCTGGGATCGAAGAAGCCATTGGCCTTGATTTTTACCTTATTAGAGGAGTTGGTAAACTCATTAACAAGTATGTAGACTTCATCACTACCGACGTCCTTACCCTTATCGATGAGTTTGCCTGCAGAGTTTATCAGGAGCTAAACTACGTCCAGGAGGCCCAAAATGCCAGAAGGTTTAAAAAACTGTATGCTGATAAAGCAGATGTTCTTGTTCCTGATATATTCTGGGATTACACGAGCCGCAAGGTGCTAACAATGGAGTGGGTTGAGGGAACTAAACTGAATGAGCAACTTGCCATTGAGAGTCAGGGATTGAAGGTTCTGGATCTCGTGAATACAGGAATCCAGTGTAGCCTAAGGCAACTCTTGGAGTATGGCTTTTTCCATGCTGACCCTCATCCTGGTAATCTCTTGGCAACACCTGATGGAAAACTTGCCTTTCTAGACTTTGGCATGATGAGTGAGACACCAGAGGAAGCTAGATTTGCAATCATAGGTCATGTTGTCCATTTAGTGAACCGAGATTATGAAGCCATGGCCCGCGATTACTATGCTCTGAAGTTCTTGTCTCCTGATGTGGATGTTACTCCCATCGTACCAGCTCTCAGAGACTTCTTTGACGATGCACTTAATTATACCGTGAGCGAGCTCAATTTCAAAACTTTGGTTGATGGTCTAGGTGCTGTCTTCTACCAGTATCCATTCAATGTCCCGGCCTACTATGCTTTGATTTTGAGGTCTCTTACTGTGCTTGAAGGTTTGGCACTTTACGCAGATCCTAATTTCAAAGTGCTAGCTGCTTCATACCCGTATTTTGCCAAAAGGCTTCTCACTGATCCAAACCCGTATCTAAGAGATGCCCTTATCGAGCTTCTATTCAAAGATGGAAAATTTAGGTGGAATAGACTCGAGAACCTTCTACAACAGGGAAGTAAAGATAGAGACTTCTCGGCAAAGGATGCTCTACAACCAGTTTTGAAGCTGTTGCTGGATCCAAATGGTGAAGAGCTTCGACTGTTAGTAATTAAGGAAGCTGTACGAGTCAGTGAAGCAATTGCGCTGGGCACTGTTGTTGATACATACAATTCCCTTCCTGAGTTTCTGAGATCTCTTGTCTTCAATGGAAATGGAAATGGCCCTCTTACGATGAGTACCACGGAACTTCAAAGTACGCTTGAGCTTCGGGATCAGGTTTCTAGAATCTGGGGCCTTCTTCAATCTTCAGAAAGCTTTGATCCTGCTATTTTGCAACCAATACTACAGGTGACTTTATTGATCTTGTGCACTGAGACTGATACACAACATAATTGATTGATGAGCTAAAGAAACTCTTATTTTGTTAAAATCAGGTGTTACAACAACCAGAGGCACGAAGACTTGGAGGACGTGTTGCAGGCGGTGTAGGCCAACGTCTTGCCGCTCGGTTTCTGCAACAACTTCTTCGAGCCACAACACCATCTTCTGCACCAACACCATAGGTCCTCTTTTCTTCTCAGTGAAATGGTAAATTGTATATTAAGGCGAGATACTCGCAAACCACAGAATTGCTTCATGTTACAGTTACAGTAATATAGTATCATTCTTTCTCTTTGTATTTTACTAGTAAAAAATATGACCGATGAGAGATGGCTCCACAAAGTAAGCATATGATTGCAAAATTGTGGGATTTAACAGTATGATACACTCAACACAGTAGAGCAATGTACAGTCCAAAAACTCAAGGGCTTGTGCTCATATCCTTTTACTGTTGTAGGGAGGGCTCTGTGTAAGTTTCTCTTTTCTGATTTACTGCATCGAGCTCGAGCTTGTCCTATTATTTGCAGAGACAAACAATGTTCATCAAAAGAAACAAAAAAAAACGCAATTTTTGAGCTCACTTCTCTCTTAAAACCTTAATGCCAGAGAACCTACTTTCACTTATAGACATTATCCAGGATCTACATGATTACTACATTAGGAAACCAATGTAATGGGCAAAACAAAATTACACTAATCCAGGGAATACGAAAAAAATGCTTCTACACCGCATCTTCAATTACCAAATTCCCTCGACTGACAGAATTAGAGGAGACACCAGAAATCAATAAGAATCAAAATTGATAAATTTATGACGATGATTCAGCATGCCATCGAAGGCTTATTGGGCATTTTTTTAATTTTACGGGCCTATAATTATCTGAAAACTAAGCTTCTTCTAGCCCAATGGGCAGTATAATAACGTCTGCCCAGATGTGAAGCGCGTTGTTGCGCAGCAGTGAAATCCAAGTGTCTTACCCACTCGACATAGTAAGCGCGTCGACGCCACCTCCCCGAAATCCCTGGACTATAAAGCATGCGGAAATTGCTGTTTTTGCTAAAATAAATAAAATAGTCTTTCGGGCCTATTTTAAGGAGCCCATGTCCGTTTTATCTGTGGTCAAATTTTTAAATAACCATTTTTTTTCTTTCAAAATTCGAAAGTTACTTTGTATTTTTTTTTCAAAAGATTTGATGGGTTAAAAAATAATAATAATAACGGGTAGAGGAGAGCTAGCTAGCTTTAGGTCCGTGAACATGTGAAGATAGATATTTGCGTGACCAAGCAAAGAGTCTGAGTGTGGATGTTGTAATCGCTATGGATCCACTAAAGAACATGTGATGGATAGACGTCATCTACTACTATAATTACATATCCTAATATATATCCTAATTCATGTTTGACTGGTATTATATATATATATATATATATATACCTTCGACAATACATATAATACCTGAGTTGACTTCCAAAACTTTGATAGCTTGGGTATACGATATACAAGATCATTTTCTTATGATAAATGAACTTTTCATGAGGTGGATATCTAAAGCTCAAAAGTCAAGACAACTGATTTTTTCAAATTAGTTTTTAAACGGGAATTTAAAATTCCGTAGGAAATAAAAAGACTCATACTACAATATATCAAGTTGCAGATGTCAAATAGTACATGATAATTAAAGAAAGCAACAAAAATAACAAGCAATGAAATATATTATATATATATATATATATATATATATATATATATATATATTCACAGATCGTTTGGAATTGTTAAACGAACAGAGTGCTCAGGCTTATGACGGCACTCAAAGTCGATATGTACGAAAGCTCTTTCAACTTCTGGAAGGTCTTCAAGCTTGATCTGCATTGCCTCACCAATCTCATGAGCTTCCTTCAATGACATATCCTCTGGAAGCTCTATATCCACCTGCCAAAACATAATATTATTTATACTTAACTCTACAATCGTTTCTAATCACATGATCTTCAAATGTTTTGTGATGAATAATGCAATGTTCAAGTGTAACTAGTGCTAGAGTATTTCCAACTTGTAACTATGTAGACGTTTTCAAGTAAATGATTGCGAGATTAATATGCATAGACCTCGACAAAGTACAGAACGCCAAGGCTATATGCACGAATAGTGTCCACATGTTTATTGTTATCCACTCCTTGTCGTAACACTAGGTACGTAAGCTTTTGCAATACTTCCGGAGGAGCTGATTGTCCTATCAACGAGACTACATATATAGAAAACAAAAGCTTAGTGAAAATCTCAAGTATTGTTATTAGGTTTAACGGTACGACGAAATGTAAAAATTACTTATTACCTGCATTTTCTATAACGGTCCCAGACCAATTGATTATAGTGTAGATTGCTAAGAGAATAGCACCAGATGGATCAATCCACCAATACAAGGCATTCCCAAGAACAGCAGCGACCAATCCAAGAATATTTGTCACCACATCAAACTGATGATCCTATATCAAACCATCATCAATTAATCTCCATTTTACATGAATTTATAAGAATACATATGCGTATTTATTACCTTTGCGTATACGCGAACAATATGATTTCTTGAGCTTTTACAGTATATCCATAGGACGAGTTTAATAGCGGTTGCACTTAGCATGATTGAATATAACCAACACAATTGGTCATGATTCATTTTTTCTGAAGGTACATTTGTAAATAATTGTTCAGCTGCCACAAGAAGCAATTGGAATCCTACACATATGTATATGGTTAATTTAGCATTACATTTTCATAAAGAAACTTATGAGATATAGTTTAGAGTTGTATAATTTATGGAAAACGATAAAATATATACCAAGAGTGGCCATAACAGCGGCGAAGATAATGATTCCAACAGGTTGTACCCTAAGCTTTCCAATGGGATATTTGTAGATATTAAAGTTCTTCATAGCCACATGCGTGAACCATAGAATTCCTCCAGCCATTAGATCAAGCAAAGAGTCTAGTGTTGATGCTCTAATTGCTATGGATCCACTCTTTATCGTAGCATATATCTACACATTATAGAACATCAGATGGATACACGTCATTTAAAAATGTTATAAAATGTTTCAATGGATAAAGGTACACACCTTGAGAGCAAGTAAAAAGATGTTAGCCCAATTGGAGATTTGCATGGCAAACTCTTGTGCAGCTCTCTCAGCTCGATCTTCTTCTTCTTATCGATGGTATACTCATCTGGTCGAGCTAAGAAACTTTCTACATCTTCAAATGATTGGAGGGTTGCCAACTGTTTTTCGTAGTACTCCTTTTCACCTTTAAGAATCAGTTTATAATTAACATTCTTGGTTTAGTAGTTGTGAATCTTGTAACAATTTTCTTTTTTTTTCAATAAGTATCTTGTAACAATATTATAATCTAACTTATATAGTCAGAAACTTTGATACTTGCCTCTTTTGAGGCCTACGGTTTTGGCGACATCAAGGTGCAAAGGGTTCTCCGGATCGATTTTGGAACGAAGTTTTTGTGGCAAATCCGTAAGGAATTTCGATTTCATTGAAGAAACCAAACCGGTTAACTTTGGATTATGAACATCAGGCCCATGATTGTTGGACGAAAGCAACGGTGTTTCCGTATAATTTACTTCCACTTCTGAAAATTATTAGAAAGGTAATATATAAAGGTTGTTGTTAGGTAGTAAAATCGAAATCTTATATACGTAAAATAAAGGTAAAATAAATAATTTAGATTTTGTTGTTAGAAAAAAGAAGAATATACCAATATATTCCGATAAAATATATAAGGTTTGTTCGTAAATTAATATTATTTAGAGTTGTTGGGAAAAAGGTTATAAGGTTATTAGATATATTAGGAGATGTTGTTCGTAATTGATAAAATTGTTAATTAACATATATATATTTTGTCATAAATATATTTATCTTTTCTCTTGATCTAACATTATAGTCTCTTCAATATCTCACACTCTCTATACATATCTATCAATCCAACTCGTGCACCAAAAAAAAAAAAAAAAAGAAGGAAGAGAAATTCCAAATAATGACGACTGTTAAAAAGGTTGAGTTTTCTTACTTAATTTTCTTAAAGTTTTTCTAGTTTATAAAACTGAAAATTACCTAGTTTGACTCAAATTTAGAGAAAAATAACTAGATTAATACCCAAATATTGTGGTTTACTAAAATAACACAAATTTTGTGTTAAAAGACCAAATACCAATTTTATTTTCAGTTCTATTAAAATAAAATAATTAAATTAAATAGAAAATTAAAAAATACAAAAAAAAATTATAAAACCAAAAAACGAAAATTGAAAAAAATAAAAAATACAAATGAAAAATATATATAAATTGAAAAAAATTAAAAAATAAAAAACAAAAAGAAAACAACTACCCATTTTATTTTCAATTCAATTAAAATAAAATAATTAACATATAATAACTAAATTAAATAAAAAAAATTACAAAACGACAAAAAAATTAAAATGAAAAAAATACATAACAAAAAAAATTAAAAAAACAAAAAAAATAAAACAAAAAAAATACAAAAAAAAAATTAAAAAGAAAAAATATATAAAAACGAAGAAAAAATTATTTTTATCATATATTAACAAGGAGATATCCACACATGAACCATCTATTATAAATAAGTCTGTCGCGATAAGAATATGTCTGTCATTACCTTATTGTGCAGATTAAAATTTTATTTTCATCAATAAAACTGTCATCATACGACAGATTTTTTTATAGTCTATCTGAAATCTGTCATAATATAAAAAAAATCTGTCATAACATAAAATATTTCGGTTGTGAGTATATGTCATTCTAGCAATTTATATTTTTATATAACAAATCTGCTATCACACTCCAGATTTTTGTTAAGAAAAAAAAAACTGTCATAACATAAAATAAATCTGTTATCACTAATAAGTCAAACTAGTAATTATATTTTTAATAACAGATCTTCTATATTATGACAGATTTTTCTCGAAAACTATAAGTCTGACGCCACTAAAACAATAAATCTGCCACACATTTTAATAAATCTGTCAAAATTACGAAAGTATGTGGTGTCATCATAAAATAAGTCTGTCGTGAGAAAAAAATCTGCTACAAATTAAATATCTGTCGTAACCTATTTTAAGTAAGTATGTAAGAGAAAAAAAATCTGTCGCAAAAAATCTGTCATAGAAAAATAAGTCTGTCATGGTAAATAAACCTGTCACAACTAACCCAGCAGATTTTTCAAATAATTTTTTTTTTCCAAATTTTTTTCACCAAGTTTTTTAAATATATTTAAGGGTACTTTTGACTTTTTTTTAATTCCTAACAAAGAAAGAAAGGGTATTATGGTCATGAAAATAACTCATTTAACCCCTAAATTTTTTGAGACATTCTAGTAATTAAACTCATAATTTGGGTTAATCTAGTAACTTTCCCTTTATAATATTCTAACTTTTTTCTACACGTACATTTGCAGAATAACATAGGCCCTGGATTTCTTGTTGCAATCGCATATATTGATCCTGGAAACTGTAAGATCAATTTTTTTAAATGTGTTTATTTTTATTTTTATCAAAAAATTTATTAGATGATATTTAAATAGGATCTTTTAAAAAAAAAGTAATCAATTATACAAAAACTGTTTAAATGAGAATTGATTTGTTTTTTGTTTTTTAGATCTGTTTTATTTCTGACTTTGAGAATTGATTAATTTTTGCACAATAAAAGCTAAGTTTTGTAAATATGTTTTATTTCTAACCCAAAATCATGATTTCGGATACAAGTTTTAATTTCATTTATAATGCTAACCAAAAATCTCGGTTATTTAAGTTCTAAAATCGTTAAAATTTAACCAACAATCTAGGTTTGTTAAGTTCTTTAATTTGAAATAATATTTAAAGAAACCAAAAATCTAAGTTTGGTAATATTCTTATTTTGAAATCATAATTAATATAACGAAAATAATCTAGATAAATTTAGGTTTGGTAATATTCTTATTTTAAAATCACAATTAATATAACAACAGATTCTAGATTTGGAAATATAGTTATTTCGAAAATTATCTCCAAAAAACCAACAATCTCTGTTTCCTAATATAATTATTTCGAAATATATTTACAGAAACAAACAATCTTGGTTTGGTAGAATTTTTATTTCAAAATCTTATTTAATATAACCAATATTTATATTGTTTGTTAAAATTAGCTTAACAATTAAACTAAAAAATCGGGTATATATTAATTCAAAGGAGATCTAAATCTATCCAAATAAAAAAAATAGATAAACGTACAAAGGCTATGTCAAAATTCACAATTAAATTAGAATGATTCAATTTGAATAAGTATCACAAACTAAAATAATAACTCACAGATATATAAAAATAAAACATTCACATTATATATAATTATTTAACTTAAATAAGAGATATATTTTCCCGGTCAAATTCTAGTTAATATCTTAAATCTACAGCCTAAGCAGCTTATGGTTTTTCTCTAACTGGTTAGTGAAACAAACTAATGGTCCCAATATTATTTAAATCATGCGGGTTATATATCTTGTTTGTTAACACATATTAAAAAATCTGGAATATCTCAGTTACGTTCTCGTAATGCTACCTGGTTTCGATTAACCATTATTTCTTTTTCTTTTTTCTTGCCTTTTTCCTTAATTCTATTTCCACCCGACTTAATTAATTAATTTTTTTTTTGCAGTTGAGACTGATATGCAAGCTGGAGCACAGTACAAATATGAGGTGCGTTCCAACCGTCTGTTTTTCAAATTTACCTTATAGTTTGCAATTTTCAAAGTCTTGATTTTCTTTGTGAAAACAGTTACTCTGGATCATATTGTTGGCCTCATGTGCGTCTTTTGTGATTCAGTCTCTGGCTGCTAATCTAGGTGTTGTCACAGGTTAACTAACTCATTCAACCACAAATACTTGCTCTTTGATTTTAGTTTTATGATCACTGTTTACTAAATTCCGTTACATGCATGATCACAGGAAAACATTTAGCTGAGCAATGTAGATCAGAGTACCCAAAGGTTCCAAACTTTATGTTATGGATCATTGCAGAAATTGCAGTTGTCGCTTGTGACATACCTGAAGGCATCAACACTTCTTTACTCTTTTGTTACTGTGATTCAATATTTTTCTCTCTGTATAATACTAATTGCCATATATATAATATGTGTTTTCTTTTACAGTAATCGGAACCGCTTTTGCTCTGAACATGCTCTTTAGCATGCCGGTATGGATTGGTGTGCCTCTGACAGGCTTAAGTACTATGGTTCTTCTCAAAATTCAAAAATACGGGGTAGTGTAATTTTGACAGTTGCATCTCTTGTTTTGTTCATAGTGCTATGTATGGTCAATTCTTATGATGGGTGGGATTTACAGGTGAGAAAGTTGGAGTTCTTGATTGCAATTCTTGTATTCACAATGGCTATAAGCTTCTTTGTTGAGCTTCACTACTCAAAGCCCGACCCAGGAGAAATCCTACATGGTCTCTTTGTTCCTCAACTGAAAGGAAATGGTGCAACTGGTCTCGCAATCTCTTTGCTCGGAGCCATGGTTATGCCGTAAGCTCACTCTCTCTTTTACCCTATTCATCATCATATTCTTTGATTAATCTTCTGACACCGTCTAAGTTCCGCAGGCATAATCTCTTCCTCCACTCGGCCTTGGTTCTCTCTAGAAATATCCCTCGTTCCACTACTGGCATCAAGAAAGCTTGCAGGTTTTACTTGATAGAAAGCGGATTGGCTCTAATGGTGGCATTTCTCATAAACGTCTCTGTGATATCAGTAAGTGGTGCTGTTTGTAATGCCCCGAACTTAAGCCCTGAAGATCGAGCTAATTGTGAGAATTTGGACTTAAACAAGGCTTCGTTTCTGCTCCGGGTAATTTGCTTGCTTGCTGCTTAATTATTTTGTTCGTTCCCTAAGATTCAAAACATTTAAGTGCTTTCCTTCCTCTGTTCTCAAACAGAATGTTTTGGGGAAATGGAGCTCAAAGCTATTTGCGATTGCACTACTTGCTTCTGGTCAGAGCTCGACGATAACCGGAACTTATGCCGGACAATACATAATGCAAGGATTTCTTGACCTAAAACTCAAGCCATGGCTCAGAAACTTACTAACACGATGTTTAGCTATAATCCCGAGTCTAATCGTTTCTCTCATTGGTGGTTCTGCTGGAGCCGGAAAGTTAATCATCATTGCCTCGGTAACACAATCATTCTCATCTCTAATCTAGTAATCTTGATCTATAAATATATATATATATACATCGACTGCATAAAGCATCAACTGATGACATCTTAAAACAGATGATCTTGTCCTTTGAGCTCCCGTTCGCGCTGGTTCCCCTCTTGAAATTTACAAGCTGCAAAACCAAGATGGGTTCACACGTCAACTCAATCTGGGTATGTGATCACAATCAAACACATTTACATTTAACAAAAGAAAAAAAGATTGAATACAATCTCTGATTTCATGTGTTATTTTTTTTCCACAGATCACAGCTTTGACTTGGATTATTGGATTACTCATCATGGGAATAAACATATACTATATAGTAACCAGTTTCATCAAGCTGCTTCTCCATAGTCATATGAAGCTTGTCGCCGTCATCTTCTGTGGAATTATTGGGTTCGCAGGTATTGCTATCTATTTAGCGTCCATAGCTTACCTTGTCTTGAGGAAAAACAGAGAAGCCACTCCTCTCGTGGAGACACTCCCAAGACAAGACATTGTCAACATGCAGTCTGATGTTACCTTGTAGAGTGTCTACGTCCCATGTCGACGTATCATTATGATATTGATAGTTTCTTAGTATTAATAAGTTTCACACTAGGCATTGCTTTCGTCTGTCAAAAAATTGAAGCTGGTAATGATTTTGATTGCCAGTCTCTCTTTCATCTCCATTAGCTCGCCGTAAGACATGGTTGCTGCTTCTTCTTTTAACGCCTTATGTTGAGCTTCTTCTTTCTCTTTCTTTTCATCTTCTTTCCTCTTCTCTCCAAGTTCCTGAGGATATCATGAGGCATATGTTGGCCAGAATGAACATGGTGGACAAACACTAACACATGACTGAAATCTCTATAATAACTAATATCAGTTTAATAACAAACAAGACGGATAACTCACTGCGTCCATGATCTTCATTTTAGGGCGAGCATATTGAGCAACAAGATACACGGATATAACAGAATCAATAGCCAACACTGAGAGATCTTTGATAGAAAACATTGAATAGAACAATTAAGAGAGAAGTGTGAAGTGAGTAAACTGCAATACCTAGAGATGGCAAGCAGACGTTGATGAATTGCACCACATGCCAATCAAACCTAACACAAAGCAAAATCAATATTTCCCACAAATCAAGATGTTAAGTGTTAATGATGCGGGAATCATGTTGTTATGCACCATAATTATCTCACTAATCCCCCACATGATCCTAATACGTCACATCGATTAAGTTTTTTATGAAGATACCAAAATCATACTTCACAGTGGAAAAAGATAGGTAATGACGTTTTGATTTTAGATACACGGAAGCCTTATAGGTGTTAAATAGCCCTTTTTTAAATATGATTACTTTTCATCATAATCAAATGAACAGAAAATCCAATAGTTAAGTCATCACTTCAGATAAACAAACCTATCCAAAATGAATTTTTAAACAACCTTCACTGTATTTTCTAAAAACCGAATCAACAACACTTCTAATCATAGTAGTCCATATTCGATATCTAATCCATATAACTGAGATTAATGGAATGTCTTCACTAATTATGTGGATTTAGCTGGCTTGTCCCTTTTAACTTCTGGTGTTTCACTGTAAATTCACAGTTCCACACTATGGATTAGAATTAAAATTTTTAAGTTGCTCCTCTGTTAAGGAACACTAGAATTGATTTGGAAGTCACCAAATCAGCCAAAAGTGTAAATAGCAAGTTCCTGAGTGGAAAACAAAGTCATCATTTTACTAACTTAACTTTGTAAGGCACTTTCAAGCAACAGAGCAAACAACACCAGAAACATGTGACATTATCGCTGAAATGATGTGAATATATGACCGTCAATGCTCATAATTATGCATATAGGGTAGTTTTTACACAATCTGCAAGCTAAAGAACCCAGCAAACAAAAACATATAACTGAATTTATCTAAGAAAATCCAAATCAAAGAGAGTCATACTCACATACACACCGGCCACTTCATTCTTTGGAACCGAATTACGGTACTGCAGGCTGGTGTCTATTTTTGCTCGACATACGATTTAGCGCTCTCCATCCATCGAACGTACTCACCTTTACCTTTGTTCTTCATATACTGATGCAAGAAAACAGCAAGCTCGTCGCTTATACCTCTTTCCTCTAAAAATTGATAAAGAGCGTCTTTTTGATAAATAGCGTGTATTCGAAACTAAATGCAAACCCAAAAAAATCCAATGTTTTAATATATGCAAACCCAAAATTCAACTGTTTTCGGACATATAATAGCAGGATCCTATATGGATGTTAATATGGGGATGAACCCCCATTTAATAAATTGGTATGTTATATGAAAACAAACTCATTTAAGTCCATTTATCAGAAATAATTAAATAGGTTTAAATGAGGTACCCAATTAGACCAATTATTAAATGGGGTTTCGCACAAATAAATGGATATCCATTTAAACCAGCTAAAAATTAAAGTATTTAACTTAAATTAATTTATATTTATATTTTAAACTTTGATTTCCCGCTAAAATCACATAACCGTGTTTTTCCGTCAAAATCGCAAAACTCTGTTTTCTTGTCAGAATCACAAAATCACGTTTTTCCGCCGATATTACAAAACCACATTTTTTGCTAAAATTGCATAACCACGTTTTCCTGCCAAAATCGTAAAACCACGTTTTCACGCCAAAATCGCAAAACCAGGATTTTCCGCCAAAACTGCAAAGTCATAATTTCCCGCCAAAACCGCATTATCACGGGTTCCCGCATAAATTACAAAACCACATTTTTCCGCCAAAATCGCAAAACCACGATTTTGGCGGGAAAATCACAGATTTACGTTTTGGCGGGAAAATTACGGATTTACGTTTTTGGCGGGAAAATTTTACATTCTCATTTTTGGTTAAAAATTATAAAATATTTTGGCGGGAAAATCACGGATTTACTTTTTTGGCGGGAAAATTACATATTTTCGTTATTGGTTAAAAATTATAAAAAATTTTGGCGGGAAAATCACGAATTTATATTTTGATGGAAAAATTGTGTATTCACATTTTTGGCGGGAAAATTAAAGACTATATTCAATCGGTTTAGAATTTTTGGTTAGACTCAAATTGAAATCGGTTTAGAGATTTGAATTGGTTTGATTCAATTTAACAAAAATTGATGGGTTAAATGGGTAAACCATTAAAACCATTGACCCATTACAACCCAACTCATTTGATCTATCAACCCATTTGACTCAATAACTCATTTGAGTCAAAATTTTCAACTCATTAGGGTTCATGGGTTGACTTGAGTTGGGTTGAACCATGAATCTTGACCCATTTTGACATTCCTACCCGCGGTGTACTGTCCCGTATTAATATTGAGCCAAACCCGTCCCGTAATATTTTATTTTTTATTAAAAATTTATAGTATACTTTAAACATTTTATAATGCTTAAACCTCTTATAAAATATTTATAATATTAAAAATTCATATAAAGTATAAATAATTATTAAATATTTATAATAATTTGAAACTTTTTAAAAGTTTAAATATTTATAATAATTTGAAACTTTTTAAAAGTTTAAATATTTATAATATTTTGAAAGTTTTTAAAAGTTTAAATTCTTTAAAATAAAGAACCGGTATAAACCCAAAAAACTTTTAAATTTAGACGTCTTATAAATCAACATTCCAGCTCACTCGTATTCGGAATCATATTGGTTCTTTTTATAGTATGACTTTTAACCATTGTCCAAACTTTTTAGGCGATGTGGGACATTGTACATATATATTTTTCCTTCATAGATTGAGTAATATATGTTCGTTTTTAAAAATTTGAATCACATCATATGTAGAAAAAAATCTAAAATTTTATCAACTATATGTATTTTATAATAATTTAAATATACTATCAAATAAAAGTGAAAGTAGAAATCATCATATTTGTTCAAATTTGTTTTAGGAAATTAATTCAAATTTGGTTTATTAGCATTAAATCATCATATTTAGGAAATGCAAGATAAATGTTAATTACCAAAAAAGATGTGAGAATTGTTTGGTTGCAAGGATAGCTAGCAATTAAAATGAGGGTGTTTGGAAACGCATTTAGATACCCTCCGAAAATACTATAGTAGATTATTGAACTATGTTGAAATCATACATAATATAAATGCCAATAAACAATTTCCCTGTTTTTTCGTATACGCTAGTTTTGGACCTTTTTGGTCACAATACGCTATTTTTTTCGTATACAAAATTAAACATAAAGAAATTAGAAATATCAAATGGACCAATAATCAATATAGTGAGAATTATGAGACAATTGTTGTTTACATTTAATTTTTGATTTAACAGTATTGAAATAAAACAAAATGTAACCAAAAAAGTTTGATTAATCGTTAACGTCGACCCAAACCTATCGGTCTTTAAAAAAATTATATGAATCCATTTATTGGTTATAACAATTTCGAGTTATAACCGAAATTTTTCTATATATTGGTTATAGAAATATATAAATCTATATAAGAAATTTTTCTCTATCAATTTTGTTAAACTGATTAACATTTTATATTTAGTTAAATTGATATTGATATTAGAGATGTTTAATGCATATTCAAATCCGGAATCAAACAATGAAATCACCCAAAAGGAGGTGAATGTCAATACTCCCATCAGAAGCAGCGCCTACATAGCTAAAAGGCTAAGTGGCTAACCATACAGATTCAAATGTGACTGAGATCAAGATTCGCACACAAAAAAAATAGATTGTCGTTTTGACCATTATGTCTCTGCATTGTCCTAGCCACTAGTTCTCTTAATTGAAAGTAGGAGCCATACCATATATAGACAAACTTACTTTACAATTCGTGGACAATACGAAGGTAATACAGATTATGTACTTCTTAAGGTTTCTTACACGCAGTGGTATTCTTCTTTGCCTCACAGACGAAGAATCAATGGAAGGAAAAGAAAACCAGAGCATAAATGTCGAAAGAAGGAATAGAAAACAACCATTAAGAACAGAGGAGAGGCTGAGAGAACAGGATAAGCTTTCACAAGTTGCCACCATGTTGGCACTAGAGGTACTTAACCAGCAGCCAAATCACAAGAGCAAGACCAACGATTCCAAGCACAGACAAGACCATCGACATGCATGAGCAACCACTTTTCATGCTCTTGTTCATCACGGCAAGGCTCTTTTGCACACGCTGTCATCATCAAGAAACATAAACAGGCCACATCAAATCCAACACGAGATGTGAATCACATTAAACTAAGAAATTGTTGTTTTTTATGATTTAAAAAAGCAACTACAGAGAGGTTCTTGGACATAATAGACCAGTGGATTGTTAAAATCACTTCCTTGCCTTCGTATTGGTCTTTAGCTTATCAATGGACCAGCTTAAGCTAGTGACTAATGAGACTAATTTGTTCAAAGCATATACTTACCCGTAAGCGAGAGTCAGTGACATCCACCTGGTAATCTAAGTCATCCTGCATGGAAGAGAGCCAGATTTCGTTAGAACGAGAAATCAAAATCAACAGGAAAAGCAATGAACAACACCTGAGACATACAATTAGCCTTGTCTGCAGAGTGAGCTCCTCGTTGACAGCGAGAGCAATGTGTTTAGTACTCATAACTGTTTCCTCCAACTTCTCAAGTCCCTCGTCTTGTTCTACTCATGGAAATAAAATACAATCAATACAGAGGCAATATCATTACTTTGGTCCTGGAATAATGTAACAAACCACAGCTTACCTCTCATAATTTGCCGTTGAAATCCAACAATTCCTTGGTTGTCCATGCCCGAGACTCTGTTGATCGCATCATCTGGCTTTATATCTGGCCCAAGCAAGCTGTCTCTGTTTGCAAAGTTTGACATATTCAAAGCAGAGGCCACCTGATTTGTTTTTGATCTCAAATTCCCAACCATATCCTTGCGACGATTCATCTCTTTCTCCGAACTGTTTACCAGCAAATTGCATGCATACACATAAACCATAATTACATAGGTCAAGACCAACATGAAACTTATTGTTCTCTAATATGGGGAGTTTAACAGGCAACCATATTCAAATGGCTTACACATGCTGCTTCCCAGGAATTTTCACAAGAAGAGATTGTAAACTGTCTAATCGGGTCCCCAAAATGGTGATCTTTCTTCGAATTGCAGAGGCACGACGTTGAGCATCAGGCCCGGTTAACCCTGACGCATTCCTTTCTGACATCATGCCATTAATATCCTCAGAGAGTTTCAAAGCCTCATTGTACTCTCTAATCCATGAATCCGAAGAAGACGCCATTGACCTGAAAACATGTCCCTAACTAATTAAAGCCAGCAACACTTATCTTCAAGTAGCTCAAATAAGTATTTGATCATGAAAAGAAACAATTAAAGGGTTAAAAACTAGCAGCAACTAGCTGATATCTCTTACATCCCAACAAAATTACCATAAGCCGTGTTATGGCTTATGAGCTTTGCACCAAAAGGCGACAAATTTGGAAGCTTTTAACGAGCCACAATGAAGAGAATCAATTCAGATAGAAAAATTAGGCATCAGTACAGACACAAAATCTCTCGACCTTTTCAGGCGGAAAGATAAAAACTTTACTGTTGCGTGGAAGAAAATTGAGACAGCAGAATTCGCAACTAGAGTCAGCCACTGAGACCCAAAATCGGCGATACCCATGATTCGTAAATTCATAAACAGGGAAGATTTCGCGTCCGAGAAATCCCCAAATCAAAGAAGCGACGGAATTGACCTAAATTCACAAGGTGAAAAGAATCGAAAAGCTTACCCTTTAAATTCTATGCACCGCGATTTGTGATTGTTTGATGATCGAAACGCGATCGTCGTGCTGACTTTGCAGGCACGAAAATAATGATTAGTCCAAAATCTAACGAAGATTTTATTTTTATTTGAAGAGAATAATGAATTGGACCTTTTTTTTTTATACCAGCTGTATGAAACGACCTCGTTTTGCCGAACGGCTCGCTCGTTGAAGAAGGTTGGATTCAATACTGATTAAATAAAGTTAGGGGTTTAGATGACATAACAGAAAGAAATTACGGGTTCAAAAGTATAAATACATAACAATAGTAATAGGTTTATTCGCTGTTGGGCTTTCTACATTAAATAGGTCGATTTCAAAAACGGGTACACGTTTAGGCCCATTTAATATACCCACGTCGTGTTTTTGTTTGTGATACAAATAGACTACATGGTTTTTCTTTAATCGAATGTGTGTTAATTAGCATCATTTTATTATTGATACTAATTTTTGTATCTTTTATTTAATTGATGTTTTATTTTGTATCATTTTTATTATTTTATAAGTGATGCTAATAACAAATTAGTAAATACAACGATTATTTATTGATGTAAATATATAATTTTGTATCAATATTTCTAAAATTCATTTATATTTAAGTGATTTAAAATAGTATCACTTAGTTTTTGTGATACAATTTAAGTGATTTAATTCAACCTTTTTTTTTGTAGTGTGGGGATTCTAAAATAACATTATAAGTTTCAGAACATGTTGGTATCTATCTCTCTATATGATTAAACGCTCATTAATAATGGGTTTAATGCATGACGTCTTCGTGAAGGCAACGGCACATCTCAATAAGATAATATTGGTCCAACAGAAACTTGTAAGTTTCATAAATTGTTATACGAAGAGATTATTTACCGTGAGAATCCAATGTTTTTATGTGTTTCGTGTATCTTACATGGAATTTAGGAAATTAAAAGTTACCATTCATATCATATTCGTATTTATCTTAATATTTTATGTAATTCGTTTGGAGAAGAAATGAGAAGAAGAGAAAATTTGAGGCGAATCTCAAGAAGAGAGGGTTAAGTCAAACGAGGGACCTTGAATTGTGGATTTGGTGTTGGACCATCACGTGCTCTCCTCCACGGCCTTTCAGGATTTTGCTTCTTCTACCGCACGTGCCACTCCCCCTCCTAACGTACCGGTTTCCATTATTATCTTTTTTTTTTTTTTCTGATAAGTAATTCCATTATTATATTCTTCTTCTCTTTTTTTAGCATTCCAATTCTTCTTATTCTTTTTGTCAAAGACTCAAAAGTCTCTATATCAATTTGTTTGCATAGTGACTTTTTATTATTATTTAACATGGATGATTTCATAAATCCATAAGAATTCTGTTTCAGGAAATCATATCCATAGTTTACAAGATCCCCCATGCCTTTTCATACAAATTAAACATATGATTGTTTGATGGAACTGCTGAAAAATCATGTGTGTACACATTATCTAGGTAAACAATACTAGTCCTGCTATTTGCGGAATCTTAAAAACGTTTGTGAATTGAACGTAATTATGTATTAATATTTCAACTTTTAAGTTTAAACTAATATTTATTTATCTGTTTGACAAAAAAGTTTAAACTAATATAAGAAAAAAATAACAGAAAATGATTACAGGAACAGTCTTATAGGGAACAAATATGGAACTTTAATTAAGGTTATTTGTATAAAATAAATAGCGTTAACACTTGGGTTATAAAGTAAAATCTTATTTCAGCGAAACTGCACTGAAATTGATGCAATAAAATAGTAAGTGGGAGCATAATTCAAGGTACGATACATAAGTATTCTTCCCAACATTTGACTGCAATTTTGAGGGCATAGAAGCTTCAATTCCTGTTTTGTTTTGTCCTTGGGATACATAAACCAGATCTTGTATTATATTATACTTACCATGTATTATATAGTATTCGAAGTTCATTCTCATTAATCGATTCCTACTTGTTTTCAAAGCAAATTAGTCAGCCTTACTAAATAACAGCTGTAATCCATAGTGATTACTTAATAGTATAGTTAATCCTCATAATCATACTCACGTCACAGACAAAATAATAATATTGTAGCTATCTAATACGTAGTATACACAATTCTTTAGATGTATATGTAGGTATTTATACTCGATGATTAGTATAAATATGTAAATCAAAGAACTTGATATGTATTGATTAGAAAAAAAAAACGAACATATATAGTGTCGAATAAAAAGATTGTTATTAGCACAACATCATGTACATTTCTTCTTCATTCGCTTTAGACCTCCGAAGCCGCCTTAGCTAGGCACAACATTGGACATGGTGAATCTTCAAAATTATTTGCAGATACCATCTAAGAGAGATTACATATATATATAGTCTAGATAGGAATGATGATCGTCTTTAGCTGATGTATACCAATATGAATATGTGACAAGAAAAATTATTTAATGGAAACTGCCTATACATATTAAAGTAATTCTCATATATTTCTGTGACCAGCTTTGGTTTATTAAATTTAATACAAAATAATAGTGGCACTGATCCATAGAAGCCAAGCTTCTCTATCTTTCTCTTTCCTCACTTTCTTTCTATCTCAAAGAAGAAGAAAGAGAGAGAGATACAAACCCTAAACATCGTGCCCTTGAAGCTAAGATATCTTCAGTTTTGTAGAAATTCATTTTGCTTACTTCATTGCGCTCTCTCTTTCATTGTCTTCTACCTCTTGCCTCTAACAGAAGCAATACTTTCCGGCCTCCAAGGTTCGTTTCTTCCCTCATCCATCTTATATCTTTCATTGTCGTCATCACCAATCTGCATCTACATATATATACACACACGCACTCACTCACACACCCTCATATATCACGTGTACTTTTCGCTTCAAACATCTCTCTATTTTAATTTCTTCTCTTTGATTACTAGTTAAGAGCATGACTAAGTCTCTATCATCAAACCTCTCTTGTTTAAGAAGCAGACAAAGATCGTTCATCAGCACCTTCATGTTTCTCTTGGGCATTCAAGTCTTAGTACTTATGTGGGTATATGTTAGAAAAGATCCATCTTTTGTTTTTAAAAGGAAAATAAGTTGGAGCCTTTGTACTTCATGACTATGCATGCATGTTGAACCTAGGGTTTTGATTTTTAGATCTAAATATAACTCAGACCCCAATTAATACCTTGAGATTTATTGGATACTTGCATGTTCAAGCCCATTCATTTCTCAATTTGTTAAAACTTAAAACCTTCAATATAATTTGTGTTTCTTTCTTTGGGGTTAATTAATATTTCATTAGGGCAAAGGTCGAAAAAAGCATCAAAGTTTGCTTAAAGAAGAGTACGGATAATGGAGATAGGGTCGTCATCCACAGTGGCCGGAGGAGGACAGCTTTCTGTGCCTCCGGGATTCCGGTTTCATCCAACGGAGGAGGAGCTTCTTTACTATTACCTCAAGAAGAAGGTTTCTTATGAACCAATTGATTTAGATGTAATTAGAGAAGTTGATCTCAACAAGCTGGAACCTTGGGAACTTAAAGGTAAAATTTATAACCCTTCTATAGTTAACTTCTTCTTTAACTATAATTATCACCACCTAATCCACACATTTAATGTATGACTATTAATCATTTCTTGATCAGTACTATATAGACTATCACAATCAAGATCATATATATTTCAAATTAATTCTATATAGAGCGAGAGAGGTAAGACAGATAAAATATGGGGAAGTATGTTGTTGGCCTTGCACAAGATTATAAGTTAGATGTCAAAGGACAAATGTATACATAGATTGTGGTAATATTGTCTAGGGAGTTGTCTGTGTCTCCAGGGAAACATGCATCTACTTGTGTCTTTTTAAGTTTGAAGAGTTCTTCTCATATATCCTGATAAATTATTTTCCAGTTTTTATGGAATCATGAAACCTTTATACGTGTGTGCGTATATACACCAAGAAAGAGACAAAGTTGTCTATTCACTTATGTCTTTTAGATTAGTAACAGAAGACCAGAGTGTAATGTCTTGTAGTATATGACTACGAATGTTATTTTGTAATATTATTTTGTACTACCCTCAAAATAAGCCAATGTCACATTGCAGACATATAACAACCCATCGCCGTAAGCCATAAATATATATATATATATATATATATATATATATTTGAAATGACTGAATAGATTTTGATTTAAGACTATTATTAACAACAATTGTTTTTTTCCATTATATTTATTACAAATTTTGTTGTTGTGTATATGTAGAGAAATGCAGAATCGGGTCGGGTCCTCAAAACGAGTGGTATTTTTTTAGCCACAAGGACAAGAAATATCCGACTGGGACTAGAACGAACCGGGCGACTGCAGCCGGGTTCTGGAAAGCTACTGGTAGAGACAAATCCATACATCTAAACAGCTCCAAGAAGATTGGACTTCGTAAGACTCTTGTCTTCTACACTGGTCGTGCTCCTCATGGCCAAAAAACGGAATGGATCATGCACGAATATCGCTTGGATGATAACGAAAACGAAATTCAGGTCCAATATATCATCAGTGATTAATTCTCGAATTCCATTTAGAGATCATAATGCTTAAAGTGGATTTATCATTATTGTGTAATTTGCAGGAAGATGGGTGGGTTGTATGCAGAGTGTTCAAGAAGAAGAATCATTTCAGAGGATTTCATCAAGAACAAGAGCAAGATCATCATCATCATCATCACCAATACATAAGCACCAACAATGATCATGATCACCATCATCACATTGACTCCAATTCAAACAATCAAACTTCTTTGATCCCACATCCTCTAGATCATCATCACCACCATCATCACATTGGACGACAAATCCACATGCCATTACATGAGTTTGCAAACACTCTGAACCATGGCTCAATGCATCTACCTCAGCTCTTTAGCCCTGACTCAGCTGCAGCAGCGGCTGCGGCAGCAGCATCAGCCCAACCGTTTGTGTCATCAATCAACACAACAGACATTGAATGCTCACAGAATCTACTGAGGCTGACTTCTAACAACAACTATGGTGGAGACTGGTCGTTTCTGGACAAGCTTCTCACTACAACCAACATGAATCAGCAACAAGTGCAGAACCATCAAGCAAAATGTTTTGGTGACTTGAGTAACAACGATAATAACGACCAGGCTGTTACTCATGATCATTTGGGTAACAACAATGGTGGTTCTTCGTCATCTCCGGTTAATCAAAGGTTTCCGTTTCACTACTTGGGAAACGATGCTAACCTTCTCAAGTTCCCAAAGTAGATCAATCGGATTTGATTGATCTCATGTTTTTCGATTTAATTCTCTTTTTTTAGCTGTGGAACTTGACACAGCAACCAACTGACAGTTCGAGGAATCTGTCTGTCTTTTCTATTTATAATTCTGTCTTTCATTTATGATCTTCTGTTCTGTCTCTCCGAGGACCTCATCATCACAAAGGTGCTTGAAGATTCAATTTTGTTTTCACCAACTTTGCACTTTAGAACAGAAAGGTTAATATGGTTGAAGGAACAGAGCTTTGCATTAACCCTGCAACGTTTAAGAGGATGTTCAATCTCAAATTTCTTAAAATTCACAGTGGCGAATCGTGACTGATCAATCTCTTTCTCAAGTCCCTCCCAGATGAAAGTACCTTTTTGAAGTTCTCTGTCGTCGTGGAAGGTTTTGACTCCTCCGTTATTGAGAGCCTCATAGAGATGGCTGACGAAACTTTTCCGAACATCTGTTCCTCTGAAACTAAGGAAGACGTCGTACTTCCACAGAGACCGAGACGGCGAATCCTCCGATTTCCTCAGAAACTGAAGGAGACGGCGTAGTCCAACGAAGACGACTATAGCCAAGTAGAGCAAGCTAATCGCCATGGAAGCTAAAGAGTGGTAGAACATCTAATTAAATTTTGAAAAAGAAAGAAAAGAGAAGCCACCATTGACGACGACATATAAACCTTTGGATTACGTCATCGTGGGACCGTGGATATCTGGGCCCAATGGGCTTATTTACTTGAAAATTAATTAAAGGAACGTAAGAAAACTAGCAAAACGACGCCGGTGTAATAACGGCGAGAAAATCCACGTCACTCTTGGCATCATAAACACGTACACTGACAGACACACACCTCTATCTACTCTTCTTCGCTCGCATCTCTCTACAGAACAGAGGAAGGTGTCGTCATAGCTTTCCACAGGTACATATTTCTTATTTTCTAAAAATTGAACTATTGTTTACTCTGTTATTCAATTAAGAATTTATTACTCTGCCATCAATGCCGTCTTAGCTCAGTGGTAGAGCGCGTGGCTTTTAACCACGTGGCCGTGGGTTCGATCCCCACAGACGGCGTAGCGATGTTCTATTTTGTTTCCCCTGATTTTGCTCTCTGTACGCTCTCGTAGAGGATGAGCGACATCTCTTCCAAGCACCATCAGCTAGATGTGGCGTAGTTATCGGACAGAAAGATGATGCGGTGTTACAATTACAACGTTATATAATCCCAACACAACAGCTATAAAAGCCATCCTGGTTCTTGATGCTGATTTTATAGGAATAGTGGGGAAGCAATTATATGAGAATAACAGGTGGCTGAAATTGAGTTGGGACCCTCATAGCTTCATAGACCTCTGGTTTCTCATGTGTTCCTTGACAGACTGAAAGATGTATTGTGCCAAGCGAGGCATATCAAGGGGATCGCCGTCTGACTGCATCAACCGGCTACTTTCCACTATAGATGTCCCATTTAGATCCAACGCTCTCATCCGACCCCCGGTCTCAAGACGCTGTGTGATATTGGTGCAACCGCGGAGAAATAGGACAGTACATACTTTCCTGCCTTTTGCGGCTAAACAATTTGTTTGCAGCTATTCTTCCCAATTTGATATGCTTAGAGCACTTCCAATGGAGTGTCTCAAGAAGTGTATCAAGGATTAAAAAAAGAAAAAATAATTAAAAGTAAGAGAGAGAGTGAGACACAGTGTCTCATTTGAGAAACTGTGAGACACTGTGTCTAACACTTGGCATTATTTGATTGGATAAAATTTTTTTTAATTAATTAAAATTTAAACAAATAATTTATTTATTACAAAAACATAAAATTATTATATAGTTTCTCACCATTGGAGATGCTCTTATTATCCGTTCTACAAGCAACAAGTAACGGTTCTCAAGTGCTGCCATTAGTTTCCAAAGAAATTTGAAGTGTAAAAAGATATGCCTCTTCCAAATGTCCAGCTCGGCTTAGCACTTTTATCATGGTCAAGCTAAGTAATGCTCTACATCGGCTTGACTAAATGCTCTGTTTCCGCCAAGTCAAAGATCAAGCGTGCTTCATCTACTAGCTGTGAGTGGCTACAGCCAGAGAGAACAACAGCAAAAGTTACAGATTTGGTTTTCGCTCCTGATTCCTGCATTCTGTTAAAGAATGATAGAGCCTATCTTCCGTGTCCATAAATCGAGGTTGCAGCTAACATCTCTATTAGATATTTAGATCAAAGACTCGCAGTGAACATTCTAGGCCAGCACATTTCACATACATAAGAGAAAGGGCAGTCATACAAGCTACATCTCCTGAGAGCCGATTCTGAAGATATACCCATGAATCTCAATCAGAACGTTCCACTCCACAATGTAGTGCCCGGCTCAAACGTGCTTTCGAATACTAGTTAAGCTTGCTTAAGACATGAACAACTAGCGTACATGTTCACAAGTGCACTTGTCACGAACATATTTTCTCTCCAGCCCATGCTTGATTACAAAACCATGGATCTATCTCTCCCGATATCTAATCCCCGAGCTCTACACAAGCCGGTAAGAATGAAGACAATGACAATTGTTGTTGACCCACGGCCAACATAACAAGAGAACATTAAAGTCCAAGAAACGGCATCTTTATACTCTATCCCATCAAACACCAATCTCTCCTTCTCAGTACATTCAAACTTGGAAAACATATCAATGAATTAAATTAGAAAAACAAGTATCTGAAACATGTCCATGAGGAAACCACATCTTCGCAAAACCTCCTTGGTTATTGATAGATTTCCCAACAAAGCACACACTTGCAACTGATAAGAGTAACAGTTTATCAGGTTCGACATCTTTCTTCCGGAATTTCTTGTAAAGATCTAAAGATTCAGCTGGAAATCCATTCTTCATGTGGGCCGAAATGAAGAGGGTCCATAAACGGAGAACCGATTGAGGAATTTTATCGGAACAGTTCTGTGTGCAGATTAAAAATCTCCCACACACATTTACATACTTAAAGATCGAATCGAATGAGAAGAGAGTTTTGAGGTTAACCTCGAAACCATGCTAATGCTACAGAAATAGCAGAGTGGCAATGTTTTTAGTGGGACTCATAAGGAGATAAAAAAAAAAAGCGCCAATTTCCTCCTCTCGACCATTGCAAAAAAAAAAGAAAAAAGAACGTCTTGGCTAAACGCATTATTCCTCCTAACGCACGACATCATTTTTCCGAATCATCAAATATATACAAGTCATAATGAAATATGATGTAAATTAGATATGTAAAAAAGGAGAAAAAAATAAAGATTTGTGACATTTGTGTATATAAATTGCTTGACGGTGTGCGTTGACAAAACAAACGAATATAAATATTTTGACGGTGTAGATGTACGTTTCACACGTTTGTATAGTCTATATATACCGTATTTGGCTGGCCCAAACAGTTCACTTCCAAAGAAAGCAAGATCAAAATATTCCCTGAGCGCCCGCCGACCAAGTTTACTTTGTATTCATTTTTCTTAATATATAAGTATATAACCATGGGAGTTATCTTACGATCCCTATCGCTTGAATAGACTTATTTATTACTCTTATACCAATCCATGAACTTCACAAGACTTGTAATAGTTATTATAATTCTCAAAAAATCTATTACAATCGGGTTCAGGTAGACAGGTACAATATATCGTGGTATATCATGCTGGCTTTTAGGGCATCTTCAACGGTGTGCAAATTGGGGTCTCTTGATCGTTTCTCTGATTAAAAGTAGAAAAAAATAAATCAGAATGATTTATTTCCGAGAGAGCTGTCTCTCTTGAGAGAAATTTTGATTAGCAAGAGAGACGATGACGTGTCACTCTATAATTGGTTTGTATTTTTGGCCAAAAAAAAAAAAGGCGTGAAAAATCTCCAGCTTTCCTTTTCTTTCCCCATCTCTCTCTTAAGACAAAACAGATGGCTGTGGAGAGAAATCAATTTCGAGATCGATTGAGGATCGAATGAGAGTCTTCGATCAAGAAATCTTGTAATTGGTAAGAATCTACTACTTTTCTGCAGATTATCATGATTTAATTTTGGGAATTTGTTGTTGGTCGATTAGGGATTTTGAATTTTAGATTTTAGAGTAAAGATGAAGGTAGAAGTGCATGTATCAGTAGCTTATGGACTCTACTCGGAACGAAAATCAATTCCTAAATGGATGACATTCATTTCATCCGTTAAGGTAATGAATTGCTGCTTCTCTGAATCTTAAGACTTGTTATTGTTTCATGAACAAAATAAGGTAAAGAAGAAGAACGGCTGAGTTAAGAAACAATCATGAGTCTTATATATATGCTACCAAAGTGAAGGTGTGTGCTTTATATATATCACTATTAATTTTTGTAAACTTGGTTTAGATAAAGAGCCATTGATGATTGAAAAAGACTGTCCACATTGTTTGATTCACCACTAATATGAATTCTTTAATTAGTCTGAGGCTCGTTGCTTTTTGTTTTCCCCGTCTTTGATTAATATCTCTCTTTAAGGCTTGTGGTAATATCTCGAGACATTGATGTATGCTTCTATATATGATTTAGATAGAGGTCTTGAGGCTTACTTAATTTTGAGTTATTTGCAGAGCTGAACAAGAAGGGATTGACATTCTCTTAAATTTAAAATCAAAACATCAAATTTACAAATTTTGGTTTGAATTTGTAGCGTGTGAAGAAAAACAGAACCGAGATGGGATGAAGATTTTCACTTCCCAGTAGATGAGCCTCCCATAAACGATAAGCTTCACGTTGAAGTCATTAGTTCTTCTTCAAGATAACTTCATCCCAAGGTAGAAACAAAAACAGATCTCCTTTGAAATACCTTTTAAAAATTGCATCAAAACCATGTCTTTGAGAAATCAAGAACCAACATTTTATCTGATATGATCAGCTAGATCTAAAGCAATTATCGATTTCATGAGACGTGGCAATCTTCCTACTGAGACCTTTGTTCTTGGATCCAATCAATGTAAGACTTTGTTTGCTTTTTTTTCTGTTTTTGCTTGGAGAGTATTTGTGGTTTGATAATAGGACTTGGAATCTGCAGACATAATAACATCGATTCATGAGAGTTGGTTTGCTGCTCGGTGTTTAAACACTTCCAAACCTGCTGGTGAAGAAGCTATTGTTATGCAGACTTCGACAGATATATTTCTTACAGTTTCAGTCCGCAGCAAAGATGGTTATGATTTCTTCCTGCAGATGTGATGGATCAATTGGTTCAGCTTGTCAAGCTATGGCTGCGGTTGATCAGTTTGCATTGCAGTTTGGTCAGAAAATCATCTAGCTTTATCATTTGCGAAGGTAGAACCATATATATTTTTACATGTTTGATTTTTTTTTTTTAAGAACCTACTTGAGAGAGATCACCATTGGAGTATGAAATTTTTTTAAAAGAAAACACAAGCTCTCATTTAAAAATTTGACAAAACTTATATTAAAAAATTGGTGAAAGCTCATGGGAGAGCTCTCACCATTGGAGATGGTCTTAGGTCGGGAAAACAAACATTTGTATATTCAACAAAAGACTTCTTCTAAGTAAACGTTTTCGATATCCAAAAGTACCGACCACACTTCGTTTTACATATTGTGGGCCCAATCATTGCCGCCCCATTGGCATTGGGGCTTTTGAAGCTGCAGCCTTGACCACAAAATTAACAAATAAAAGATTACGATGTTTGTTTTTTGGGCCAAGAACTATGTTTACTTCCAGACGATGCATTTTTGGAGGTTTAAATTGAATCGATGTTTGGTTCGTAGACCCAACCTTCAATTATGAATGAATATAATTTTTCTTATAGTTAGTATATGTAGTTGCATAAACTGGTAAACATATACTATTTTTACAACTACATAAACAATCTCTTCATGTAAAAGAATTAGATTTGCTAGGATACATTATCTTCATTTTAGTCAACAAACTCATCAAAGTCATATACTCCAAGAATTCTCTACTAATTGCTAATCATTTTCTAATCAACTGTTTTGTTTTCTCCCTAACACTATCAGTTACGTGATTAATTCGTTTGCGAGTTAGAAAACAAAGCACTGTTTTTTTTTTTTACATTAGCCACTTGAGAAATCAACTTTTGAAAAAAAAAGAAAGAGGTAAGCAGACTATATTAAAAGTTTAAAGTATGCTTGTTATTATATTTTAAGGTATCAAAGTCACAAAAAAGTATCAAAAGTCAACCTCTTTTTTTTTTTTTTTGTCATCCGTAATTAAATAGTGCTCAAAAGAGCCATTCTTGTAGAATGTTGTTTACATAAGTGATATGAAGCGGTTCCGTACGAACTTTTCGTGCCAGATTATCCGCTTTTACATTTGCACAACGAGAAATTAAAGATAAAGAGAAGGTAGAGAACTCTTCCTTGTCGCTCTGAAATTCCTCCAGATACACTAAGAAGGCCAGCCATTCGGTTGGGGAAGACACCATCTTCACCAGGTCAGAACAGTCTGTAAGGAATGCTACCTCTTGATTATCTGCACCAATCATACACTTCATCGCCCAAAGGAGGGCCTCGAATTTGGCATGTGGCGGAGATAGGCTTCTACGGAGGTTGGCAGCTCCCATTGTTGATGGCTCACCGTTTGATGGTGTACAAAACCACCCTATCCCGGAAAACTTGTCGCTGTCTTTCCACGATCCATCCACAAAACAACGGTATCCTGTAAAATCCGAATCTAGGGACACCCCCCTCGTTTGAGGCCGATTTGTAAATTCCACTGAAGCCTGAGTTTCAATATGAAGCTCCACTTGAGCTGAGTGCCACAATTGTGTCTCTCTTTCCGCTAACCGTAAAATCTCTAACAGATCGTTATCCACATGTTCAAACAATTTTTCATTTCGTGCTTTCTAAATATACCAAATAATCAAAGGAGAAGCTATAGAATCGTATCAAAAGTCAACCTCTTATGATAATGATTTTGAAATCTTCGACATGTTCTTTCTTATTCATTAAGATCTGGTGAATTACTGAATTGGAATATTGCTATTTAATGCAAACGACATATCATACGAATAAAAGAAAGAAAGAGTGAAGCTAGAGATCAATCACATATTATTCACATACTATTCACATGCCCACTCAATCTTTGTTCGTAAATATAAGAATCTATCTTGACCGTCCAAGTCTCACCTTTTAGGCCATTCTCTCAAGATCAACGGTTGATGTCGTTACATTATGTATAGACTATGTAACATACTGACATGTGATTGAAACACTGACCCTAATCACCATAACGAATCTAGGCATTTCGGCTAAGGTCAACAATATGAACAAAAGAGTAATTTCTGAAACTTTTGAGGGTACTTTTCGAATTTCAATCATTTTGACCTGATTTGGATTTGCTCTTTTTGTTAATTGACTAAATATTTATACGCTTCAATATTTTGAACAATTTTTTTTTGTTCTTTAGCTAGCCGACAAATTGGTTTTTATTATATTTTTTTTATTGTGATTTAAGATTTTCAAAAATTGTAGTAAGCTCTCAGGGAAAGGCCAGAAAAAACGAGAGAAAATTGAGGGAATAAAAGTTTTAGGGTTTTATTTTTTGGTAATCTGTTCTTCCTTCGCCGTGTACTGATCAAACATCTGCTAATCTTCCAGTGGTTGATCAATTATTTGTAAGCTTACTCGCTAGAGGTTCTGGAATAATTTTTCACTGTTCTATCTAAGTCGTTAGAATTTCCTGAAGCACTTAGATTTTAGATTTTGATTTTGATTCTAAAATGACGTAATCGTTGTATCGGCTGCTTTAGGGTTCTGGGTTTTTGTGCTGTTGGTATCGAGTGTATTTGGTATTTTTGGATTAGTTGAAAATGGTTGGGTTTAGTTCGAAATCCTATTTCCGCTGAGAATTTTATGTAGCAAACTAAGGAGAATCTTGTTTTTGAATTTCATTTTTGATCATTCACATAAGAGATTTCCTCTAGTGAAGAAATCGAAGCTTGTGAATTTTTCCCTTTTTTCTTTTGATGTCTGCTTTGCTGCATTATCATCTTTTGTTTTTGCCATGGGACTTAAAACTTATATCCTGATTCTTTCATTGCAGCAGCTTAATGTGTAACGACGGCATCGCCAGCATCTTGAAGGAGTACTGAATCGATTTTCTTTCTCAGTAGTTTTTGTCAGATTCGTCATACATGTGTTTCAATTAGAGTAATTTGAAGGACTGTATTGTTGTGATGGATAAAGCTAGACATCAACAGCTTTTTCAGCTCTCCATGGAACCTGGTTATGGAAACGAGGCTGTTCCTCAACCATTTATGCATGATCAAACAGGGAGCACGAGTGCTAATATGCGACCTCCTAATTCTAATGGTTCAGATGTTAAGCCTGTGCATAACTACTCTATACAAACAGGTGAGGAATTCTCTCTTGCGTTTATGCGTGATCGGGTGATTCCTCAGAGGTCTTCCAATCCCAATGGAGCTGCCGACATGAATTCTACCACTGGTTATATGGAGCTTAGAGGTTTGATAGGGATAAGTCACACAGGATCTGAGTGTGCTTCAGATGTCTCAAGGTTCAGCACTGTGGAAAACGGCACCAGGGATATTGAGAGGACGAACTCTTCGCTTCACGAGTTTGGAAATAAACTTGGTCATGTCCAGTCAGCACCACAAGCTTTAACAAGTAAAGATAGCAGTGTAGGAAATTTACATGGATATGCGTCTTCTTCAGCCTCAGGCAGTGTAACAGCAAAGGTGAAGATCCTCTGCAGCTTTGGTGGGAAAATACTTCCACGTCCAGGTGATTCAAAGCTTAGATATGTTGGAGGTGAAACACACATTATTTCCATAAGAAAGGATATATCTTGGCCGGAGCTTAGGCAAAAAATCCTTGAAATCTATTACCAAACACGTGTTGTAAAGTATCAGCTTCCTGGTGAAGATCTTGACTCGTTGGTGTCTGTATCATCTGAAGAAGATCTCCAGAATATGTTGGAAGAATATAATGAGATGGAAAACCGTGGGGGATCTCAGAAGCTTAGGATGTTTCTGTTCTCCATCAGTGATATGGATGATGCTCTTTTGGGGGTTAACAAAAATGACGGCGACTCTGAGTTTCAATATGTTGTAGCTGTAAATGGCATGGACATTGGATCAGGAAAGAACTCAACCCTTCTTGGGCTGGACAGCTCTTCAGCAAACAACTTAGCTGACCTTGATGTGCGGAACACTGAGGGAATCAATACCATTGCTGGAGATGTTGTTGGAGTTGGCGCATCACAGTTGATGGTAGATGGCTTCCAACAAACGTCTGTTCAACAGTCTGAGTCTATTCCACCAAGCTCATCACTTCATTATTCTCAATCTATTCCTCTGAATGCTGCATATCAGTTGCAGCAATCTGTTCCGCCAAGTTCTGCTCTTCATTATCCCCAGTCCATTATCCCAGGTTCCTCTCTTCAGTATCCCCAACCTATTACGCCAAGCTCCTCTTATCAGTATCCACAATCCATCACACCGGGTTCTGCCACCTCTTATGGAATATACCCGCAATATTATGGGCATGTGGTTCAACATGGAGAAAGAGAACGGTTCCCTCTCTATCCTGATCATAGTTCTAACTACTCCGCTATCGGGGAAACTACCAGTTCCATACCGCTCCAAGGGCACGTCAATCAGCAAGGTGGCTGGGCTGAAGGGTATCCGTACCCTGGCAACACACCCAAAAGCTCACAAGTGCTAGCAGAGGAGCAAAAAGTATCACCTGATATGAAAGTTCGTGAGCATGTTGAGCCTGAAAACTGTAAAACTCCCCGAAATGATCACCAGAATCGTCCCCACATAGATGATTTTGAGGTGAGAAATCACAATCAGGTCCGGGAGGTGTCAGTTGCAACAACTGCACCTACCCAGGATGCACATTTACTTCCCCCTAGTAGAGACCCACGGCAGACCACTCCTGCAATGCCTGCTACCTACCGTGATGCTGTTATTACTGGGCAGGTTCCTCTATCTGGTATTGAAGATCAGCTTTCAACTTCAAGCAGTACCTGTGCCCCTGTTCATAGCGACTCTGAGTCAAATTTAATTGATCTTAACTATCCGGAGCCTGAGCAGTCTCCCCAAAGGGTATATTGCTCAGAGAGAATACCTCGTGAACAGCTTGAATTGCTAAATCGTTTGTCGAAGTCCGATAACTCGCTAAGCTCTCAGTTCGTAACGTCTGAGTCACAAGCAAACACTGCACAGCAAGATTCAGGAAAAGAAGCGGTTGGAAAGTCACATGACGAGTTCGAGACCGTTTATGATGATGTCACTCACCATAAGCACAAAGATGTGGAAACAATCTTTGAAAAAGTAGGGGTATCAGATGAAACTTTGGAATTCGAGCCCCTGCACAAGATTGTAAATTCTGACGATGCAAACAAGAACAGACTAGTCAATG